TAGTGACCTCCAGGGTTCCAGAATGGACACACACTCCACATAGAAGCCCTGTGCCGCTCCCTCTCCTATGTAGGAACTGTGGTTGGTTTCCTCACAGATCTGTGAAGAGACCACATTAGGGGGACTTGTTTTCTCGGAATTCAGGCGGCTTCTGTGAGGAAAGGCTGCCTCCTTTGAGCAGGACATGGCTGTCCCTGTCAAAGTCATCGTTCCTGTGCTGAGGGGGTGGACGCCTTCTTCCAGGTCAGTGGAAGAGTTAGCGTTTTCCTTATTCTCAGGGACAGTAAGTGTTGGTCTTAGTTCACCTCACAACTGCACACTGCATAACCTGTCTGCTCATTCATTCATTCACACGTTCTTTATTCAGCAACTTTCTGGGGGCTGTCACGGCATGCCAAGCCTGCGCTGGTCACAGGGTTGGAGACACACGCACCACATGCTGTGTACTCAAGAAGGTGGCCCAGGATGGGCAGAGTCATCAGTATTACTATTATTTTTTTTCTTTTTGGTTTTGCCAGACAGGGTTTCTCTGTTACTTTGGAGCCTTGAACTCACAGAGATACACCTGCCTAGGCCTCTCAAGAGCTGGGATTAGAAGCATGCACCACCACACCTGACAGAGTATTACAATTTTGTCTGTTTTGAGACAGTCTCTTTACATTGTCCTGGCTGGAATGCTGTATGTAGTTCAGGCTAGCCTTAAACTTACAGAGAGATCCTCCTGCCTCTGCCTCTGAGTGCTAGGATTAAAGGTGTGTACCACCATGCTGGGCATTTTCATTTCATTTTATTTTTTATAAATATGTTTTGCTGTTATTTTAATTTAATTTATTTTCATGTGTATGAATATCTTGCCTACACGTATGCATGCGTACCATGTGTGTGCCTGGTACCTTCTGGAACTGGAGTTATAGATGCTGTGAGTCACCATGTGGTTGCTGGGAACTGAACCCAGGTCCTCCGCAAGAGCAGCCAGTGCTCTTAGCTGCCAAGCCGTCTCTCCAGCCCCCTATGAGTATTACAATAGAAGAATATTGGGGAAAAGAGAATAGAAAGTTTTCAAGGAAAATTAACTCCTCAAGTGACTCCCAAAGTGTTAGAAGCTGTTTTCTGGGGGGTAGGCTGTGTGTGTGTGGGTAAGCAGGAATTCCAGGAGTGGATGTTGAGAGCAGAGTCCAGGGGCTGAGGACCACAGGCACAGCCGGTGTAGGAGGGAGGGGGAGATGAGGAGATGGGGAGAGGCCTGGCAGGTAACAAGGGTGTGACTCAAAGTACTACCTTTGTGCTAAGAGACTCACACTGTAAGTGCGGGGAGGGGCGTGGGCTGAGAATGCTCCTCCCCCAGCTCTAAAACAAGTCCTTAGGTCTCAGTATTGGAGCAAGATTCCTGACCTATATACAGTGTCATATTTAACGCGCACTATCCTGTGCAATAATTATATGTCATCCACACAGGCAGGTTTCAGTTAAACTTTGCCTGTTGGTGGAAAAGTTAGACTTATCTGTGGAGAAGCTTTGAATCTGGCCAGGCTAATGACCTTGAAAGGTGGCATTAAAGCTCAGCTCCATTTCACAGCATTCCGAAGCTCATGCATTCGGCAGTTTCCCCAAATGCTATCTTTTACATAACAGCCTTGTGCAGAGAGAAGCTTCATCCCACCCAGATCCATAGTCACCTGTGCAAACATCTCACGCATACCTACGACTTAAGAGGCAGGGTGCTCCTAACCACCAGGGTGACTTCGCACTCTGACAGCCCATTTCGTGGCCACACTGTACACTGCCAACAGAGACATGCCAGCAGTTTCCCATGTACCCCTGACGTTAGAGAAAAGGTCTCTACCATGGTGGTGGCAGGCACTGCTATTTTAATATATAGGTAACTGAAGGCCTATTAAAAAAAGGAAAATTGCTCTCTGTCCTAGTTAGCTTTAATGATCAACTTGACACAGCCTATGGTCGTTTGATAGGAAAGCCTCAGTTGAGGGATTGGCTAGGTCCGGTTGAGCTGTAGGCATTCAGTCTGGGGGGACTGAACTGATTGTTACTTGGTATAGGAGAGTCAAGCCCAAAGTGGGCAGCACCAACCCTAGGCAAGTGGTCCTGTTACATAAGAAAGCTAACTCAGAGTGAACCAGTCAGCCAGCAATGAGCGGAACTAGACAACTGGACCATATACTCACTATCCCTCCTTCTACACTGTGGGGCTTCTGCAGCTTCTTTGAGCAGTGCTCTGGAAAAGCGCCACCGTGTGGACAAAGCCGGAGTGACTTTTCCTCATGGATTCAATGCTAATTTCCTATGATTAAGAACCAAAGAGTTGGTCAGGAGAGAAGCCCAGAGCTGTGAGTCTCCGGAGTAACGAGGTAAGTGTGGGGGTCAGGGAAACCCTCAGAACCAGCAGAGGTAGACAGAAGAGTCGATGCCTTACCCCGCTGCAGCCCAGGGCAGGGAGGGACTTTTGCACGGTTGCTCAGTTTTCCTGAGAATAATTATAATTATCATTTATAAGCAAAGAGGTAGTTTTGGCCCACAGTTCTGCAGCCTGGGGAGTCCAGGAGCATGTCACCAGCATCTCTGTTCTGGGGAGGGCCCACTACTACTTCATAACCTAAGGCAGAAGGAACCTGAGTGACAGAGACTCACTGCTGGGGGACTTGCTTTACTTTCATGTTTTTGATAATTGAGATGGAGTCTCATGTAGCCCAGGCTTCCCTCTTTGCTCTGCCTCCAGTTTGAGTGACTGACTCTCTTGATGCTCTAAAAGATGACCTCTGACCCTGCTTCTCCCTTGCAGTCCCGTCACAGGGCTCCTCCAGCCCATCTGTAGTGTTTGTCCCTCACTCTCCATGTTCTGCCTGGGTGAAGGTGTAAAACTCTGCCCTCTCTTGAGAGAGGGGGGCCTTGTGCACGCTAGGCTCCTGGCCTGTCCAGAAAGGAACAAGCCGAGTTAGTAAACCAACACAGTTCACAGGACCAACACAGTTCACAGTACAGCGTACTTTGTGATATTCGTGACACAAATGAATGTCTGAACGAGGAAGGAGGCAAGAGCCTGGTCCTACCACCGCAACGGCTTGCTGAGAGCTGAGCCTTCGCAGAACAGTTTGGAAGGATCCATCAGCTTCTTCCAGATTTTGAATGCCCAGATGGGAGGCTGGGTTTTATTTATTTATTTTGGTTCCCAGATCTGTTTGTGAAGGAATGTGAACCAACTATAAATTCTTTCTCAAAGAGAGAAAAGCAGTTTTAGTGAAGGCCATTCCCGAGCCCAGAAAGCCCTCAGTGTCATCAGGTCTCCCAGATACTCGAGTTCATATGCTCCTGAATTTAATAATTAAGCCATATTTCTACAGAAGGAATAGAGGCTGTCCCATGACGGGCTCCTGACTCCCAGGAAGCAAGTGCAGTCATTGTGACACACTGTTCCTTCTGTGGCTTCACTCACACTCTGAACCCCGATGTGCACAGGGATCAAAGACAGTGACCTCTCTACTGGGTTCTGGTGAATTACATCAATGCTGTCTCCTCCCTCACCCTTGGCAGCACCCCTCCACTGAGATCTCCAGCTAAGTACCATAGTGCTCTTCTCTATACAGGGTTTCCCTGTGTAACTTTGGAACTGTCATGAACTCGCTCTTGTAGACCAGGCTGGTCTCTAACTCACAGAGATCCACCTGCCTCTGCCTCCCAAGTGCTGGGTTTAAAGGTGTGTGCCACCAACGTCTGGCTTTATTTGTTTTTTAAATCTAGAACCTGTACAGACTGCTGGTCGGTAGTGGTGTACGCCTTTAATCCCAGCACTCAAGAGGCAGAGGCAGGTGGATCTCCCAAAACTACACTCCAAAGCACCGCACCCACCAGCGTCCCACACCTTCGGAAGGCTCACGGGTATGCCGGAGGTGAATGTGGCCCGAGCCAAGAAGATGGCATGGCAGAACTGTGTGGGATGTTTCAGGAGTGGTAGAGAGATCAAGTGGGTGACACCATTGTTGGGGCATCAGTGACAATGGTGAGCATTGCTCGCTGCGTCCCCTCCCCCTATAGCTGATGAGACTGTTGGGGTAGGCTCTGGGCTCAGATGTGGGAGAATGAGCCCCCGGTACTTAGGATGTGACCTTCTTTGGAGACCGTGCCTTTAAGTCGTTAAGCTAACCTGAAGCCTTATTCTTAAAATAGGGGGCTTGGGCCTTCAGGTGCTGACAACACCCTCTGTACTCTAGGAAGGATTAGAGAGTCTAGTGAGCTGCTGTGACAAGTCAGCCCCATGTGTCATAGGCTGCTTACATAGGCTGGTGGTGGCCTGAAAGGAAGTGTGGTGGAGGGAGCCTTCCTGCATTCACCCTCTCAAGAATCCTTGTTAGGTGTTTCTAGATGCATACGGCTGGAGCCTGGCCTTGGTTGGGGAGAGTCACTAAGTAGCAGCCTTACTTTCTGCCCCAGGAATGGGAGGCCCAGGGATGCCACAGCAAGCAGGTTCTGCCGTGTTGCTGGGCTGGGGGTCTATTTTGAACTTGTCCTTGATCTTTTCTCCAAGCAAAAGGCTGGCTGCCAGTGCCCAGGGAGAACCTCTAAGCCACCGGTCCTGGTTTATGGCTTAGAGGCAGAGTCCTAGTTTATTACCTATAATAATTTTTTATAGCTACCCAAAGGCGCACAGCTGCCAAGCACACACAGTGGGACCACAGCTGGGGCAGTGGGGAGGGGTGAAAGGGACAGCAGCGAGGCCCGGGAGGAGGCAATGGAAGAGGCCCCATCTCAGAATAAGAAGCAGAGCAGCCAGCAATGTTGTGAAACCAGGAAGAGGGCTGCTGCCCGATTTCACTCCCAGGTAAATGTTTGACTGGATGTTTTCCTTTTCTCTGAGTTTTGGGTCTACAAATTGAACCGAGCAGAATGCTAGTTCCTGGGAAGCCATCATAGCCAGGAGCCCGAGAAACAGAAACATCGGGGACTGCAGTATCTATCGGCACAGCACCCACAGCAGCACCCTCGGCAAGATGCTTGCAGCCAGCACAAGGTGAGTGGCAGAGGCCGAGTCGTGATGGAAAGTTCCAGACAGCCGGGTCCTCCTAGCTCTTTTGATGTTTGTGATCAAGGGATACTGGGAGAAAGGCATGGACTGGCCAGTCTGCAGGCAGGCAGACATGGAAAAGGGGGAACCGTGGTAGGTTTCCCCCTTGTCAGTTCAGCCACAATGGGGTAGAGCCCAGGTAAGGACTCGCAGGATGGTAACTTGGAATCCTGTCTCCGTGGTTTCTTCTCCTATTACCCTGGTGTAAAGCTCCCTGTCTTCCTCCCCTTTTAACTGATGTTTTATAGTTGCCCACACGTATGGAGTACACTTTGATGTCCTGATACACATATGGCACCAAACGTTCATTATCTCTTTGTGATAAGAACCCACCCCGCACATTGAACTATGTAGCTGATTGTTAACTGCAGGCACCGTTCTGGGCCATGAAACAGTGGCACTTGCCCCTCATAACTGTAGCTTTGCAGCAGTGGCTAGCCCCTTGCCAGCCTTCCCCCTGCTGGCTTCTGTTCTGCCCTGTGTCTGTATGAGCCATCCCTTTCTAGACACCCCATATGAATGAGGTCATGCAGTGTTTATCTTTCTGTCCCCGGCTCATTTCACTTCCTGGAATGTCCTACAGGTCATCATCAGATCGCAGGCTTTTCCTCTTTATTTGAAACTAAATAGTACTCCGTCATACAGATGTACCACATTTTCTTTGTCTCCTCATCCACCGTTGGAGATTCCATATCTTTGCTATTGTGAGTATTTATTAGAATAAACAAGGGCTCAGGTATCTCTTTGATATGTTAGTTTCATTTCTGTTTCTCACTGGCGGGATTGTTGAATATATGGAAGTGTATTTTGTTCATTTAGAGACCCTCCATGCCATTTCCCACGATGCTTCTGCTGAACACCCCAAGGGTGTGCAGGAGTTTCTCTGTCTCCTGCCCTCAGCAGCAGTTTTCCTGCTACCTTGCTGAGAATAGCCTTCTGACAGGAGTGGGTGTGCCCACAGTTCTGAGAGGACCAGAGCAGAACTGGAATGGGAAGGATTGAGGATTGGGGAAGTCCGGCCAGGTGGCAGGGATGGAGACTTTCACTCTGATGCGGAAACATGGTGGATCAAGAACGGAAAACAGGCCACTGCCTTCTGGGGTCCCACAGTCTGCTGTGAATGCTGAGGGCTCCCAAAGAAGACAGGAGAGAGGGGAGCCAGGGAGACAAAGGGGGCAGATGAGTGTCACCTAGAAAAGCAGGACAGATAGACCAAGCAGGCTGAGGGATGTGGGAAGGGAGCGGTGTGCTGAGAGCCCAGGAGAACCTGTCCCTCTCCCTGTGTCCCCAGTGGGCTCTGTGGCTAGGAGAGAAGGGAGAGGTTGAGGTGACAGGGGGCCTTATGGTCTTAGTGAAGGTGATGACAGCCTGGGGTATGAGCATGGACAGAGATGAAGGGATTCCATGGGGACGGAGATGCAGCCAGAGTTGCTCTGGGTCTGTGACGTCGCTGATGAGCATGTGGAGCCTCTACTCTAGCTGTGAGGATTCCAGAGCTGGTTAGACAGCTGTGCATTTGGGAGAGGCTGACCTGTGGCTCTGAGGGACACTCAGAAGTGCTCCCCAGGGAGGCAGCTGTCTGTGAGCTGTGCTGAGGGACCTGGCCCCGCCCCCTTGAGCTTCTTGCAGGGTCAGTCCTGTCCTCAAGAGCTTCTTTAATCCCAGTCTCCTGGGCAATGACCTGGCCAACCAGGGCCCTTCTCACAGGGGGGCTCTGGCCCAAGCATGCTGCTCAGATTTTCTTCAAACACGGAGCATGGGGTCATTTTCCCCCCAAGGACCCGGCCACAAACTCTCTAGCAGAACCTTACGTCCACATGTCTGAATATGTTTTCCATTTGGAGGATCCAAAGTGTTGGACTTTCCACTCTGCTGTCCAGTGACACTTTGGGCTTTCCCTTGGCTTCTCTGAAGTACACTGTGGAAGGGGCTGAAGAGTGTCTATCCACCACACAGCTTTCAGTGAACATTGCCGTTGCTTCCATGGGGGGGAGGGTCATGGAGGTGTGTGCTGCTGTGGTAGGCAGATGGTGGGATGACTGAGTGGGTGGGAGCACATTCCTCTCTTGCACAGGACCTAGGTTCAGTTTCCAGCACATGCCCAGTGTCTCACAACTATTTGCAACTCCAGATTCAGGGATCTGACTTCTCTTATGGCTCCTTGGACACCTGCACTTATATAGAAACACACACACACACACACACACACACACACACACGAATGATAAAATAAATATTTTAATAACTTTCTTTTCCCCATTTTCTTTAGTCTGTATGGGTGTTTTGCCTTCAGGTATGTCAGTTTACCCTGAGGCCAGAAGAAAATATCATATCCCCTCGAACTGGAGTTGCAGATGATTGTGAGCTGCCGTGTGGGTGCTGGAAATAGAGCCAGGATCCTTCCAAAGAACAGCCAGTGCTCTTAACCATGAGCTATGTCCGGTTCCTGGTAAAATAAATCTTTAAACGGAGAACTGTAGGGAGTAGAAATAGACCCCTTTTTTTTCAGTTGCCCCCCATACAGTTTTTTTTTTTTATGGTGGCTGCTCTGGGCTTTGCAGACACACATAAAAACAGCCATGACGCTCCTCAGGGAGTCAGTAGCCAGACGCTGGCCATACCCATCCAGGAAATACATAGAGAGGAGAAGGAAGGAGAGAAGGGGCCAGGGAGAAAATGGAACGGACGCAGGCATATGTGAGGGCCTTGTGATCGCTCTCGGCAGAGCTGTGGTAACACAGGGCCCTCCTCCTTGTGGGGTGGCGTCTTTGATAGAAGAGGCTGGCAGCTCAAGGGGGCAGCTGGGACATCAGAGTACAGGTGTCCTGCTCTGGGCCACATTGCTGGGCTGGTCATGGGGCCAGAGTCAGCAGCCACTCTGCTGTTGGTTACCAAAGTGAGGGACTGCAATCCACCTCATGGCAAGGGGCCCAGGGCAGGGAGCCCCTGCTAGTGTAGCCCTGTGATAGTGACTCACTGGGCAGAGGAGGGAGGGGCCAGAAGGCTGATCCTGGGAGGAAGGGCACTCTCAGGAGAACTGGCCAAGTGCTCTGGGTTCTGTGGAAGCTGCTCAACCCCCAGAGTCCCCTTCAACTCTCCAAACACAAAACTAACTTCTCTTCCTCCTCTTTCCCTCCCCCTCCTCCTGTGTTTCTCATCAATTTTCGAAGACAGGGTCTCATTCTGTAGTCCAGATTAGCCTCAAATCTAAAATACAGCCTAGGTTGGCCTCAAAGTTCCTGTAATCCCTGCCCACCCCTCAGTTTCTCAGAGGGTTTGGATTACAGGGTGAAGGTGCCCAGCTGGAAAAACCCTGTTTATTCTCCCAGCTCCCAACCGCAGAGGAGGAATGGAGAAAGAGGAACCGAGGGCTTAAGAGGTGAACCTCAAGCCAGAGGCTAGCCTGGGCTAAAGGGAGAAACCCTGTCTCAATGTCACTCCCCTTTCACCCTCCTGAACACCTCCTAAAATTAAAACAGGGTTTCACACAACCCTCCAGCGCCCTGCTCATGGTACACTCATGGAGTGCTCACACACAACCCTCCAGTGCCCTGCTCACGGTATGCTCACGGTATGCTCACACACAACCCTCCAGCGCCCTGCTCACGGTACACTCACGGTATGCTCACACACAACCCTCCAGCGCCCTGCTCACGGTACGCTCACGGTATGCTCACACACAACCCTCCAGCGCCCTGCTCGCTCACGGTATGCTCACACTCCTGGTTGCTGGCACTGAACTTTCGGCTTTCTCACTCTCAACTCCACTCTTGCCAATTCAGTTAATATTTATCTCTGTCTTCCAAATGTGGACACCCTTTTTTTCTAGGCCATCCCCAAAGGCAGGAGTACAGCTGCCAGGGCTTACTGGGAAAAGTGTCATAGCTGTATGTGGGTTTGTTATAGATCGCACTGATAAAACAGATAGGCACATTGCTTGCACAGGGGGTAATCCCCCTGCTCCCTATTCCAGCCCACAGAGCCAGTTAGCTGTCTCAGAATGCCTACCCTGAGTTTTGTTGATCCCTTGTCCCAGGCCAGCCTTGAACTGCAGCTGGTCAATGAGCCCGGTTTCAACATGAGTGGTGGTGGACGCTTTATTTACATGAATGAGTCAGACAAATGGGGAAGAAACAAGAATACATCAGTGAATAGAATATCCTCAATAGAAAGTTCCTTTTGATGAGCCACAGATAAGAGTTTCTGAATCTTGGAAGACTAGCGCCTCAAATGAAAAAAGAAATCTAGCACTAGCTAGACTCACAAAGTATAGCTATAACAGGCTTGGGGCTAGAGAGATGGCTCAACCATTATAGGCACTGACTTCTCCTGCAGAGGACCTAGGTTCAGTTCCCAGCATAAACATGGTGGCTCATAATCTTCTGTAATTCCAGTTCCAGGGGACCTGGTGATCTCTTCAGGCCTAGACATAGACACATAAAATGAAAATAAACAAATCTTAAAAAGAAATATAACAGACTAAAACGTCTGCATTATAGACATTTTCTCTATCATCTTTAGTCTTTCCATAGAACGGTTAACTTGCCCTAATCACTGGTTCCTTCTGAGCTCCTGTCACTGCTGATCCCAAGTTCCCATGTGCCAGGCACCAGCTAGGCTCCAGAAGGGTGATGAGAAAGCCCCAGAACGCTAGGGCTCTGGGGAGGCTGCCATGCTCTGGCTGGGACAAGGACCTGCCCACTGGGCTCCTGACACCCCCTCCCCCGTCCAGTTCCTTATTTTAAAAAGAGGTGAATGCTACCTAACCTGCAAAAAGTTAAATCAGGAACTAGAAATAGAGTAGACAGAGAGAGAGAGGGAGAGAATGTCTGCATTCTAGTTCACGTCTCCAGGCGCTTCTCTGACCAAGCTTGATTTGCGCTTCTCGGAAGTAGAAGTTCCGTTAGCCCGCAGTCATCTCAAGCACTGGCCATTTCTGCATGCTGGGAGCGCTCTCAATCCTCCCTTCCCGATATCTGGAAGCCGTCAGTACATCCCTGTGGGTGTGACCGCGCTTCTGTGCTCTGTGACACTGGGCCTTACCCTCCTCTGTAGCTATAGCCCAAGTCTGCTTCCCTCTGCTCCCTGCCCTTCCCGGCCTCTGGGATCAGTTTTTAAAAAAGCGTATTTGCTGTCTGTGTCTACCTCATTTTACTCAGCCTGGTATTCTACAGGCTCATTTCTGTTCCTGAAAATTACAGGATTTCATTTTTTATGACTGAGTAATATTCCATCACATACACATTTTCTTTATCAACTTATCTGTTAGTTAGCACCTCTGCTGATTCCCTATCTTAGCTATCACAAATAGTTCTACAGAGACCATTTTCATTTCTTTTCCTTTGGATGTGCACACTTGGGAATGGTGTCACTGAGTGTGGTAGTTCCATGCTTAGTTAGTCAGTTGTTTATTTTTAGACAGGGTCTCCCTATGTAGCCCTGGCTGGCCCAGGCTATGTAGATCAGGTTAGCCTCTAACTCAGAGATCCACCTGCCTCTGTCCCCTGAGTGCTTGGCTTAAGTGAATATGTTACCACGCCCAGTTCTATGCTTTTATCTTGAGGCCCCTCTACACTGTTTTTCCCAGTGGCCACACTAACTTTAATTCCTACCAAATTCAGTATTACCCTCTCTCTGCACCCTCTCCTGCCCTGTGGGTGCTAGGGAGGCTTCACACCGCTGAACACTGCTGGCCCACCTGCATCTTTTGAGAAATGAAAGTTCAGGAGGCTGGAGAGACGGCTCAGCAGTAAAAAGCACTCACTGCTCTTCCAGAGGACCCGGGTTCGATTCCCAGCACCCATGTGGTGACTTGCAGCCAACCTTAGCTCCAGTTCCTGGCCTCTGCTGACACCAGGCAGTCACACAGTGTACTTACAGACCTGCAGGCAAAACACTCATCCGTATAGAACAAAATAAACACGTCATTTAAAAAGAGATGAAAGCTCGGGTCGCTTGCCGATTTCTTTTTTTTTATTTTTTTATTTTTTATTTTTGGTTTTATGAAACAGGGTTTCTCTGTATTGTTTTGGAGGCTGTCGGTCCAGCCCGGCCTCCAACTCACAGAGATCCGCCTGCCTCTGCCTCCCGAGTGCTGGGATTAAAGGCGTGCACCACCACTGCCTGGCCGTGCTTGCCGATTTCTAACTTTGCATTTAAATACCTTTTCTTCCTCCACTAGCAGCTCACTTACTAGTTTTTAGATGCCACCGGTCTGTGTCTCTCTTTTTTATGTTGACTTAGTTTTCTGTCTCTTCCTGGTCGTTGTTGGAGTGATCGAACCTTTTCTTTCCTGTAACTTTTTATGGTGCTGGCTTATGTTCTGCTGTCCTCTTACAGTGGCCTGGCTCTGACCTGTCAGAGCTTATCTAGAAGTTCGTTTTTATCCAAGTCACAAGGGGAGGAGACGAGAGTCTGGAGTCCCCTGAACGGAGGGCAGAGCCAGCCAGCTGTTGTTTTCCTCTGTTCTCCATCGTGCAGATGTCGTTTGGTGCTTGGGTTGATGCTGGGTTAGACATCCTATTCTGGAAGCTCAGACATCCCTGAGGTACTTACCTAGCTACTGGCCGTGTCTGCCGATTCTTGTGTTTCTGTTGCTTTAAACCCTTCTTCATACGTGCATTTTTCTTATTGCCTGAGAATTTTCTCTAATCTTTTTCAGACAGTTTATAATGGAAAATCTTTTTCAGTTCTTGTGTTTATAAATATGCATTGACTACATCATTAAACGGAATGTTACATGTGAATACATTTGACATTTATATATTTAAAATAAATATTTACATATTCAAATTCCCGGGGCTGAGGGATAAGTGTGTTTTGCCAATCCTTCGGCAGTCTTTCTCTGATTTTCCTTGGAGGGCATGCCCTCAAGCGTTCACTCCAGAGAGGGCGTGCGCTCCCCCACTTCCTCAGGAAAGGAATAAACACAGTGCTCACTGCGTCTTTGGCCTCTTGGGGGCAGTCTTTCCCGCGGTGTCCTGAGTTTTGAGTTCATGCTTGAGAGTTCCATGGAGGATGTGCTGCCTGTGTCGGGAGCCTGGCTGTAACCATGCCAGGTGTGGTTTAAGGCTGGCTTTTAGGTTGGGGGGGGGAGTGTCGCGCTAGCTGTGACACTTCAGTGGCTGGCCCGTGAAGCTCCAGGCTCCCTCCAGGAGCTGCTCCTGATGTGGTCACCGCCCCTCTCTCTGCGACCCACGCATTCTACACTGGAGACATAAATACATTGTTTCTGGCTGACCAGGGTCAAGGGTGGGCTACTTGGGCCAAGCTGTCCTGTCTTTACTGCTCCCTTTGCAAGCCCCATGCCAGCACTCTATGTCTGTTTCCAGATACATTGGATCACTGCATCTCTCTCTCTCTCTCTCTCTCTCTCTCTCTCTCTCTCTCTCTCTCTCTCTCTCTCTCTCTCTCTCTCTCTGTGTGTGTGTGTGTGTGTGTGTGCATTCATGTGTGCATGCACACGCCATCATGAGCCTGTGGAGGTCAGAGGACAGGCTGCAGGCACCCAATCTCTCCTTCCACCATGTGGACCCTAGGGGACTGAGCTCGGGCTGCCAGGCTTGGTGGCAGGCCCCTGAGGGGGGCTGAGTCATCTCACTGGCCCTGCTCTTGCTCCTTGCACGGGTGCGGGGCTGGCCTCACACTCTGCGGTCCTGCTGGCTGTTGGTCTTTGATCTGGCCTCAATTCTCTTTGCTCTTAAGCGTGGCTTCTCCTCTCCCTGCCCGCTTCCCTCCTACCATGTAAGGGTTTTGTGTGGGATTGAGAGACTGGTGCCTGTGCTCAGCTTACCTTCTCAAGAGACAAGACGGAACTACGCTTCCGTCTGGCTTCTCACCGCTGGAGCCCCATCCCGTGCCTGCCTGATGTCTAGATATTTCGGATCTCTGATGAGACACAGCCGCAGACTGCTAGGATTTTAAGGGATTCCAGGGCATGTGTGTGTTCCTGGTCTCCCCGAGGGTTGCTGTCCCTGAGACCGCCGAGGGGCAGGAGCCACTGGTTGCAGGATGCAGCTGAGGAGATGGCTGACTGGGTACTGGAGTCAGGAAGGGTAAGGACAAAGAGCAGAGAGTGATGGCGTGACGGGGGGAGGGGCGGGGGCACGGCGGTGCTGTGCAGTCAGGATAGCAGGAGCAAGGAGTGACAGACCCCGAAAAGAGAAAACCCCTTGTCAGGGAAAGCTGCCTGGCGACTGTGCCCTGAGGTCCTGTCAGCCTTGTCCTGAACTCTGAGGACGTATGTGGTGTGTAGTCGGATGGCTCCCCCCTCCCCAGCAGCTCACTAGTGTTTCTGACCTTGGCTATGAAAAACCAGGTCGGCAGGCCAGGCTGACTTCTTGGGAAGTTAATGATGGTGCAGCCTCAGGCCGCTCACCTGACAGGACCCTTGTGAGGCTCTGGGAAGATGGGGAGATCTCTGGTTAAGGGATTTCATAGTCATTAACTCTGTTGTGTTCTGTAAAAAGAACATCCCACAAAACCCAAATCTACCCATGACTGTGTCATCCAGAAATGAATGGGGGTCTTGGTGCCAGCTCCAGGGATGCTGGCTAGATCATCAGAGCGAGGAGTGACAGCAGTCCTTTGGGGGAAGATGGTGAGTGAGCAGGCCTGGTCTTGGGGAAAGCAAGTAAGGAAGCTCAGGTGGCCCAAACTCCTGCAGACTGGAGTCAGTGCTGTCCCAGGGACTGATGATGTGAACCTGTTTTCCAGGACCAGGCAGTTAAATGTCACCTGTGACAGCTCAGTGGACAGGGAGGTCTTCCTCCATTACTCCCTCATCCCTTCAGTAAGTAAAGGTGTGGGAACGTGGGGGAGGGGTACGGAGCCACAGGCAGGAAGCCGAGGGCGCGCCAGGGAGAGGCGTTTGGGATGCTCCACCACGCAGCTTTTGGGCGGGCCTGCATCACTCAGGGGAGAGAGCGATGGTTTTCCTTCCAGTGTGCATCCAGACACACAAGAAAGCATTTAGAATCCAAGAGTCAGGGACTTTCAGCAGGGTGAAAAGGGGGTTTTCCTTCTTCCTTTTTTTGTATGTACGTATGTCTGGGCACTACCCCCATGCCTAGTATCCTTGGTTGCTTTGAACTGGGGTTGCAGATGGTTTTGAGGTACCATGTGGGTACTGGGGATCGAACCCAGGTCCTCTGGAAGTGTTCTTAATGGTGTTCTTAACGGCACCCTCTTTCTAGCCCGCACCTCGTTGTTCTTTGAGACAGTCTCTCGCTGAGACCTGAGGTTTGGTTAGATTAAAGCAGGTTGGCTAGAAAACCAGCACGCAGGGATCTGTCTGTCTACCTCCCCAGCCCCGGGGCTACAGATGCTTGCCACCACATCTGTTCGCATGTCTGTCTTCATGTGGGTGCGGGGATCAAATGCAGGTCCTCATGCTTGAGCAGCAAGTACTTTTCTAAGTTATCTCCTCAGTCCCCGGGAATGACTTTCCTAAGGCAGTAAAGATAGGGCGGAGGTCATCTTGAGAGGTGTAGTGAAGAACATTCCAGACACAGGGAAAGCACGTGCAAGGGCCCTGTGGAGGGTGGAGGAAGGTGAAGTGAAGAAACTGAAAACCAGAGGGAGAACCGAGAGGTGGGAGGGACTAGGGGTGGGGGGGTGGGCTGTGCAGGAAAGAGCCCTGTGGGAGGAGGGCGAGCCCGGGGGTGGGGGTGGGGGTGGGGGTGGGGGTGAAAGCTCAAGTCAGCCTAATGAGGTGTAGACCCCACATTTAAAAAAGTAAAAAGAGGACTAGGCATGTAGCTCAGTGGTAAGGCGCTTGCCCAGCATGCGCAGGACCCTGGAGTCAGCCCCCAGTGCGGGAGGGGGAAGGGGGGAATTCCAGGTTTGGGGTTGGATGAAGGAACAGGGCCATAGGAACATGGTTAAGTCTCACCTAACGCATGCTGCATCTGAGAAGTTTTCACCAGAAATGCAAGCTGGGTACCCTGACAGACCTGGAGCTCCTGGGTCAGCGGGGGGGGGGGGGGGGGGGGGGGGGGAATGCAGACGTAGACCCGTGAATCCTCTGTGTCATTAAATGTTTTCACCGGGGAGGAAAGCAGGAACAAGGACTCCAACGAAGCCACAAGAGATCTCTCTCCAGAAGCCAGGGAAAGAAGGAGCTATCCGGGGGTTTGGAGAAGAAATGGCGAAGGCCGGAATACATGGTGGAAAAGCCCAGGGAAGATGGTCTAATGGGAAGGGGCAGTCAGCCTGGGGCACGGCTGGCAGGTCACACTAGAGTCGGGCATTGCCTTGAGCGGTGGATGGCTGCTGGTGACTTCAGTCATGGCTCCGTGAATGCAATGACAGGGTCTGAGGGTCCAACAAAGACAAGGAAATGGAGAGCACATATAGACAATTCTCAAGAAGTCCCTGGTAAATATAAAGAATATGCCTGCATGTCTGCCTGCGGGCCAGAAGAGGGCACCAGATCTCATTACAGATGGTTGTGAGCCACCACACATTCAGGCAGAACTGTATGCATGATAGATGATAGATAGATAGATAGATAGATAGATAGATAGATAGATAGATAGATATAGATAGATAGATACTAGATAGATGATAGATACTAGATAGATAATAGATATATAGATAGATAATAGATATGTAGATAATAGATGTAGATAATAGATAGGTAGGTAGAGAGAGAGAAAGAGGAGAGAGAGAGAGAGAGAGAGAGAGAGAGATGTTAAAAAATAAAAGAAGAATGTGCATCTGGTTCTTGAGAACATGACCACATCCATAGAAACAAAAGGGAAAAGTTCTGAACCCTGATAGGCCTGGCTGCCTCTGTACAGATGGAACCAAGGTACAAGAAGGACACGCCTCCCTCCTAGCCGGATATGGGAGAGGCTGGACTTGAACCTCTATCTGTGAGGGGCCACACAGAGGAAGGCTCAGTACAGAGCTTCTGGTAGCTCTGAAGTACATGGAGTTCAGGGTGTCACAGGCACTTTGAGCTCTCCGCTTGTTCTTTTCCCGCCAGGCCACCCTGAGGGTGACTGGGACCCCTGACACCCTGTTCTCTCCTTACAGCTGCTCATCATTTTGGTCTTGTCTTTCCTCCAAAGACGAGAGCATCGTAGACAAAGAGACGGCACCTTCTACCTGCTGGGGGATCACTTTGGAATCATCATGTGAGTTGGTTCAGCGTCATCCCCTGCGCTTGGGGTGTCCTGTGGTGGGGACCAGGCCACAGCGCTCTGAGGGATCGGTCTTCTTCCGCTGTACCCACTTGTCCTCCATCTTGTGTTAGGGTTTCCACCGCCGTGATGACGCCCCATCACCAAAAGCAAGCTGGGGAGGAGAGGGTTTACTTACCTACACTTCCACGTTGTAGTTCATCACTGACGGGAGCCAGGACAGGCGCTCAAGCCAGCAGGAACCTGGAGGCAGGAGCTGATGCAGAGGCCACAGGGCGTGCTGCTACTGGCTCGCTCCCCATGGCTTGCTCTGCCTGCAAGCTGCAAGGTGAAGGCTGAGGCTGGCCGTGTTAGTTACTCTTTGCTATCGCTATGACCAGACGCCTGGCAAAGCGGGTACCACATGCCACAGGGAAGGAAGAGCTCACTTTGGCCCCAGTGTAGGAAGCAATGCAGGTCATCACAGCAGAGAAAACGTGGAGCAGTGGGGAGGCAGCCGGTCGCGTGGCATCTGCAGTCCGGAAGCAGAGAGAGGCGGGGGCTGGGTTTCTGTTCACTTCCTCCTTTCTGTCCAATCAGGACCCAAACTGTGGGATGGGGTATTACTACCTTCAGAACTGATCAGCTAGACCTGTCTAGAAACATCTTCATGGATGTACCCTGGAGACACGTTTCCATGGTGATTCTTAATCTCACCAAGGTACCATTCAAGACTAGCAGTCACGTTGGTAAAGACTCTTTGACCCCACACTGGACAGGTTGCAGAACTTATGAGGCAACCACATTGAACTTCCTGGACTTACACGGTCATGGCTTATCTGACTGGCACCTGTCACAGCCCCTGGTTCTCTTAGTCTTTCTGGCCTCTCTCATTGTCACTGACTAATGCTCCTGGCTATGAGAAATGTCCATTGTAGGCTCATGTATTTGAACACCTGGTCCCCAGTCGGTAGGCATGTTTGGGAAGGTGGTGAGACCTTCCAGGGGAAGAGCCTTGCTGGAGGAAGTATGTCACTAGAGGCGGGCTTTGAGGTTGTATATCTGGGTACCATTTCCTGTTCTCCCTCCCTCCCTCCCTCTCCCCCTCTCTCCCTCTCTCTCCCTCCCTCTCTCCCTCCCTCTCCCCCTCTCTCCCTCTCCCTCCCTCCCTCCCTCCCTCCCTCCCTCCCTCCCTCCCTCCCTCCCTCCCTCCCTCCCTCCCTCTCTCTCTCTCTCTCTCTCTCTCTCTCTCTCTCTCTCTCTCTCTCTCCTGTGCTCAGTGTGGCCAGATCCATGCTCTTGCCTTCCACACCACAGTGGATTGTGTCCCTTCTAGAATTGTAAGTCAAAATAATACCCCACCCTGATTTGCTTTTCATTGGGATATTTTATAACAGGGTACTAATGCATCCTCTCGTTGGCCACAATGACTCCATGGTAAGCAAAGTAGGAGGCATCTGTCTCTTTTTAAACTTTGGTAAACTGAGTCTCACATGCACTCTAAGTACCATGGTTGGGTCTTAATGGAATTCAGTTTGACAAGATATGTCTCTGAAAATCTGCAATGAACTGGAGTTCCTCCCAAGTCCTGTAGGTTCCGCCCTGCAGATTTTATACTTCCTAAGCACTTGGTGACGTGGAGGGCAGTGTACTGAAACAGGAACATAACTTGGTGCTGAGGAGAGCAATAGAGACAGTCTGCTGGGGCAGGAAATGAAGACAGTTCCTTAGGCTGAGGCCAACAGAAGGCAGAAGGGGTCTTCCGGTCTCTGCTTTGTAGTGAGCAGCTCTCAGGTCACCAGAGTGCACTCTATTTTTCTCTCCTGATGACAGGGTCTCATATTACTCACTCTCATCTCAAATTCACTAGGAAACCAAGGATGACCTTGGACTCCTGATTTTCTTGCCTCTGGCACTCAAATGCTGGAATTACAGGCATGCCCCCGTATTCCTGCCTCCAGGTTCTGACTCTGGTTTCTATTCTGAACTAGGGAAAACTCCTTTTCTTAGGAGGAACAGCGTCTATCCACATTTAGTCACAGGAAACAAAAAGGTAATTTAAAAAGAGAGTTACAATGTTTTTACGGTACCTGATTTCCTGAGGACCAAGAGGAAACTCCCGGGAAGATGCTTCTCCTTTCTGTCCCCATGTCACTGGGGCACCTCTGAGACATTGTGCCATGCTCCTTTTGGCGGTGTCACAGGCTCCTGCTTCCCGGTAGCGTCGGTTTTCCTGTAACAGCCACTCTGATCTCGACTTGGAATGACTGTGACAGCTAACAGCCTCAGGGTCACAGTGAGAAAAAGACAAGGCCAGACATTGGCCTGGTGGGGCCAAACTCCAGCAGTGGCCCACGGCGCAGTCAGCCATGGAAAGCACTGTCACCGTAGGGACAAAATTTCACCTCTGCGCTTGTAGGGTTTTCCAGTCGGACTTGAGAATTAAACTGAGGGCTACAGAAATGGCTCCGCCATTAAAGGCTAGACTGGCAGCCAAAATGCCAAGAGAATTAAACTGACAGAAGACAAACTGACAGGAAAAAAATCATAAATTTACTTAATGTGACTTTTACAGGCACAGGAGCCCATAAGGACACGAAGATTCAAAGATGCAGTTAAATTTGAACATGTAGGGCCAGCCAGGCGGCTCAGTGGGTAAAGGCACTTGTCATCCAGCCCAATGACCTTCACTAGTTCCCCACATGGTAGAAGGAGAGAACTGACTCCCACAAGTTGTTGAACTTTGGTCTCCATATGTATAACACACACACACACACACACACACACACACACACAGGCGAGTGTGAGTAACATGAGACCGTGTGTGTGTGTGTGTGTGTGTGTGTGTGTGTGTGTGTGTGTGTAATAAGTTTGGGGAAAGTAGATAACCAAGAGTAACTAACAAAGAGTGTTATTTTGTAGACATGTGTGGAATTCTCTTGGTCTCAAGTTCTCACCCATGAGAATAATCATGCCATTTCTCTACTCTCTGGAAGCATCTTTTACCTGGGGATTTCATCTGCTGTTTTAAACCTGGTCAGAGAAATATTTTTATATTAAAGATTTATTTTTATTCGTATGAGTGCAGGTGCCCTCAGAGTCCAGAGACTTCAGAGTCCCCTGGTCCTGGAGTTAACAGACTTTTGGTTGTGAGCCACTTGACATGGGTGCTAGGGATCAAACTCAGATCTTCCACAAGAGTGGTGAGCATCCTACATTACAGAATCTGCTCTCTGGATCCTCATGTGTGTGTGTGTGGTTTTTCTCCTAAAGATTGTTTAACCTTAATTTTTATATTATATGTATGGGTATTCTGCCTGCATGTAGGTCTACATACCATGCATGTGCAATGCTCATGAATACTAGAAGAGGGCTTTGCATAATCTAGGACTGGGAATTATAGATGATTGTGAGCCATCATACGGGTGTTGGGAGGGAAACCAGGGTCATCTGGAGAAGCAACCATTGCTTTTCAGTGCTGATCCATCTCTCCAGGCCCACACTTTCTTTTAGCTGTCATTTTTTGATCAAGCGTCCTTAAATCAAAATGTCCCATAAGCCAAAATGGCATAGTTGAAGTGGTGTGGTTTTAGCTCTTTTCTTCACATGACTCCCAGACCTTCATCAGAGATACCCGAGGGAAGAGTCTTCACAGGCTATGTCTGGGTGTCTGACGGTCTCCCTAAGTGCTCCTTGTTTTAGTATTCAAGTCACACTGTCCGTAGCTAATAAAAATTTGTTTTGTTTTGCTAGGTGTCGTGGCTCCCAGTGTCCCTGCTCCATCCCTACCACATGTTGAGGTCCTCTGTGGGAAGAACTGTGTCTTCCTCACTTTAGAGCCTGGAATCTGTGCTTACCTCCAGACCTTGGCTGCAATGAGTGGCTCCCTCTCCCGCACTCCCTCCAATCGGTGGGCTGGCTGCTTTCCTGGCAATCCAGAGCCTCACACTCCGCTTCTGTTGTCTACAGGCCTCTGGACTTCGTGGGGACTTTCAGCAACCGATGGTCCTATGGAGTTGCCTTTGGGGCCACAGCCAATAAGGTCATGTTCTTATTCTCAGAAGGCTACCAGCCCCTGATTGTTCCGCAGTGGGCCCAAGGTAGGGGCCTGCCTCACACATCCTGGGAATGTCGCCTGGAAATGCTTGATCTCAGAGGCCTTGGGGGTTGTCTGGAGGCATGGACTCTGTGAGCAGCCACATTCTTCTTAGCCTGGCACTTGCCCAGTGCCAACGCCTAGGGAGCTCCCCCCAGTTACACTCAGAGATGCTTTAGACAGACATAACCAAGGCACTCTCAGCTAGTGCCCCAAACTGTTGCCTTCTAACAGCAGCAGCAGTTTCTGCAGCTCCTCCTCAGGGAACGAGGCATGTTTGTTTGGCCACTGGCTCGAGGCCTCTCTCCCCAGGCTCCATGCTTTATTTAAAGGAGCTACAGGTTTGGCGAGCCTCATACAATTCCAGAACCATCTCTCCATGGTACCAACTCCAATGTGCACTGCTGGAGCACAGCCAACACCTCCAGGAAGGCTGCTCCAGTCTTTGTCACCTGGGGATGGGGTGTCACTGGCTTCCTTGTCTGTGTCCCTGTACAGTTCATTTCAGATTGCTCTCCTGCAATCCCCCCCCCCCCCCCAGTACTGTTAGCTTCTGTGCGTTGCCTGACCCAGGAGCATCTCAAAGCTGACACACAGTCAGGGTCATCTTGGATGTCGCACCTGCTGTGCGGCCTGCATCCGAGAATGTAGCGAGGTGGTCGGGATAGATGACACAGGGACCGGTCGGTTGCTTTAAGAAAACTTTATCTTCCCAAGTCAGCTTAGGAGAGAGCTCTCAGAAGAAATCTCAGGAGAAGTCTCTGGCGAAATCTCTGGAGAAGTCTCTCTAAGAAAAAGGAGCTTCCTTTTTTAAGGACTTTTGCCATCCATTTACATACCATTCTTTCCACTTCTCACCCTCCTGGCTGGTGGTTTAATCTCCAGCCCCAGAATCGGGGAGACACCACAGGGGGCAGGAAGAGGCATCTAGCCATAGGAGGTGTGGAAGGCATGGTATTTCAGTGAGCCAGCCCTTATCTGAGCCCTATCAAGCTTTAAAGCACTGAATTGTTTTCAGTAAACATTACATAGATGCCTGCTCCCAGGCCGAAGGGGAAGTGGGTTTCTGCTCAAGGTCTGGTGTCCCCACACTTGGATGACTAAGCCCTTCCTAGATGCTGTCAGTCCATCTCAGAGCTAGCCAGTTACCGGAGGGGGTGTAATGTGACCATCACTTCTGTAGAGAGTTCTCTCCTATGCACAGTAGGTAGACGAGTGTGACCACCATCTTCCCTCAAGCGCCCTCCAGTACACACACCATGCCTGTGTGGACCTCTGTGATGCTCTTGGGTGCTGTCCTTACAGCTCTTTTAGTTTGCTGGTTGGTCTGTCCCTGCCTGCCATACTGTGAGTTACTCACACGTAAAGAATCCAGCCTTCATCTCCTCAGTCATCTGGCACCAGTCATGGGGAGGGGAGCAGAAACGGCCTGTGACTGAAGGAAGGACATTGGTGCATTCCTCTGCCATGGCCTAGAGCTCTTCCTTCAGTCAGCTCTTTAGGTCCTGAGGCCCAGGCTTGAGCTCAGAATGGAGTGCCACAGCTCCCCTGGACACCTCTGAGTGGCGAGTAGAGGTTCCCACAGCATCCCGACCTTGTCTCTTGCAGCCTTTGTGCTTCTCATCGGGGGCATAGAAGTCGGCCTGTCTTACTTTCCCTTCTTTGCCTGCCTGTCCTCAGAGTTCCGGCTGGTCAGCTCCATCCTGGGCTTCAGCTACTCCCTGACCTGGTAAGATGACGCTGCTGGCTTTCTTTTGGCCATTTAGGCCATGACTGAACTCTAGGCATGGGGACAGAGAGAGCTTGGGGTTCCTCACGGAGAACAACAAGGCCCAGAATGGACAGAGATGGCTTGCCCAATGCCCCACTGTTGCTTCTTCTCGGAGGTACTTCTGAGGCTTCCACAGGTCTGCTCAGGACCCTGTGTGCATCCTAGGAGGGTGTTCATGCTTCGAACACTAGACACCGGGAATTAAGGAAAATTCGCTCTGGAAACTGACAAGTCCTTACAGAGGAGTCAGGAGCTGCACGTCCATGACTTCTCCTAGAGAAAGTTGCCGTGTCTGCTTGACATTCAGGGCCATGCTGGCTTGGCCTCTTCCTCCTCCTTCTCCTAAGGATGTCGAGCACACACCTTCAGCCACATGGTTTCCTACAGTCCATTGCCTCCCCACTTACTCAGCAACCAGTCTTTATAATCCACAGTAAGCTAGGGACGGAGCGAGGAAGATGCTCACGGACTCTGTACTCTGGTCCCAGCACCTCTGGGTTCCTTTTCCCTGTGTGGGGCAACCTGGGACGACGCTGGGCTCCCTCTGAATATGACTTCACACTACATACTTATGCAGAGCACCAGGGAACCCCTGTCGACTGGGTGACCTGTCTTGGATCATTTCCACCCCTGAGCCCCTGAGGCTCATCCCTTGCTCCCCCTCCCCCACCCACCCACCGACTCCCACCTTCAGCAGGAGCTTCAGCCACGGTCAGGAGACTTAGGACCTTGCCCCCGCTCTGTGTCTGTAAGCGGCTTGGGTAAATCCCTTGCCAGCCCTGGACCTCCGCCTCCTCAAATGTCAGAGGGAGAGACGAGGGGCATCCTGTGTCTTCCTCCTTGGTCCACAAGGACTCTGAGACGTGTCGTGTCCCCCATCAGGCAGGCCCAGCAAATGCAGAGCTCGGCTAGGCACAAGCAGGTGCCCAGTCAGGAAGGGACAGACACGGTCCTCCCAGGGGTAGCAGGCAGGATGTGGGCTGTGTTTACGGGGCTGCTCTGGGTTGTGATGGGACAGAAGCCAACCTTAACCTGCTTCTGTCCTGCAGGTTTGTGGTGACCATTCTTCAGATCGCACAGTGTCCCCATGGCCAGGTAAGTCCCTGCTGACCTCACACAGGGTGTTCAGTCACCACCTCAGGGCCACCTGGCTCTGTGAGCTCAGACAAGCCTTCTCTGGGCTTCAGTTTCCCCACCCGTGGGGGAGGGACCGTGCATAGCTCACCTGGCTTCTGTCTGTGTAGCAATCACCCACTGCCCCGCTGGTCACAGGCAGACACTGTCTCATTTGGTCCTCAAGGCAGCTCATCAAACCTACGTCACAGGTGAGGAGACTGTGCCAACTTTGCCAAGTGAGTCACAGGAGGCAGCAGAGCTGGGAGCTGGGGCCGTCTTGGCGGATATCAGGGCCCCTTTGCCCTCTGCTCAGCCCCAGCTTCTCTTGCTGTAAAATCGGAGAATCACACAGGGGAGAGCTCTCCAGCATGACCACCGGTGGCCCCCCAGAGTTAATGAAAGCTGCAAGCTGGTTCTCCAAACCCCCAAAGGAGCAAAATGGAGAGGATATTGTTAGTCAGGGCCACGCAGTTCTGGAAAAGCTCCATTTGGTTACACTGTGACAATTCTGGTGCTGATTTGGTTTCTAGCAGTAAATGAATGAATTTCTCTAGATTTTTACCTTCCCTGTCCCATGGACCCCAGTAATGACTAGCCAGGAAAGATGCTTGACAGCAGTGGACACTCTTTAACTGACCCCTCACTGGTTACCCCTAGCAATGGCCAACTTGGGGCCAAAGCCAGATGCTTCCTAGCCTCCTTCCTCGCTCTTGCCCTCTCTGCCATAACTACCCCAGCTTGTCAGTGGGCCCCAATGAAGCAGCTTTCCCCAGAGCAAAGGCTTACACCATCAGCAAGTTGCTTGTTCCTTGTCTGTCCTTCCTTCTTGTGGTCTTTCAGGTGTTGCACTGCACTTAGAAGAGCTCCCAGGAAGGTTTAGGGAGTCAGGGAGGTAATCTGGGCCTAGAGCTCAGGCCCTACCACCCTTCCCAGGATTTAACAGTGGACTCTTAGGCGCACGTGATAGAGACAAGTGTGGCAGAGCCTAGTTAGAAACTGAGACTAGTGCCTTCAGTCCCAGCACGTGGGGGGCAGAGGTATAGATGCACAGATTAGGATACACAGAACTTGGTTAAATAGAGGTGAATTTTATTTGGGGAGAAGTCACGTGAGAAACCCATGACCTGCAAGTTCCAGCTCCAAGATCCACACCCAGCTGCTCTCCATGACCTGATCGGAACCAAGAGAGTGAGCTGGGGTCCGGGACCCCAGACTTAGCCTTCCCCTGTCACATCTGCCCCTGTGACCACGCCCAAATGGGTGTGGTCAGTACAACAGGTGCGGGGGTGGGAAGGTGGATATCTCACTACACAGAGGCAGGTGAATCTCTGTAAGTTCAAGGCCAGCCTGGTCTACAGAGCTAGTTCCAGGACAGCTAGGACTGTTACACAGAGAAACCCTGTCTTAAAAAAAAACAAAAGAGAGAGAGAGAAAAGAGGAAGAGAGAGAGACAAAAAAAGGAAGAGAGGAAGAAAGAGAGAGAGAAAGGGAATTGAGACTGAACAGCTGGGCATTCACTCCACATCTCAACTTGGGACTGGGAAGGCCTGGCAAGCCTCTGCCCAGGAGGATGCCTCTTTGCCACTGATTCCAGAGCCTGGATTTTGGGTCACAGCCTTTTGTAAAGGGAAGCGTTTTCCTTGAGAGAAGCCTTCCCGCCAGCCTGGTTCTAGAGCCGCATCAGTGCCAAATAAACACACAGGGGGCTATATTAATTATGAAGCTGTTGGCGTTGCTTGTTTCTTACTGGCTAGCTCTGACTTAAGTAATTACCCCATAATTGTTAATCTAAGTATTTCTCTTACCGGAGAATAGTTCCGGGCTTCCTACCCCATGGCGGTTACATCTCGACTCTCTGTGTTTCTCCTACCCAGAGTCCTCCTGGACTCCAAGTCCCACCTATCTAACTTCCCTATTGGCCAACAGTGCTTTATCGACATAATCACAGGACTTCCCCAACAGCCTTCCTTTGGCACCTTTGGCACAGTCTCCAGAGGTGCGTTTGAAATTCCAAATGTTCATGACTCTATGTAGGGAGAGGACAGGCTCTTATTTCTAATCAGACTCTGTCACTGTGAACAGCCATGTGTTAAGTTCCACTCCAGTCCATGGAGGGACAGACAGACATGGAGGAAAATGCTGGCTGTGGTCACGGCAAGCAGGAGCGTGTTTTGGAGAGGGAGAAAAGGAAACTACGATACCTCCGTCTCAGGGCCTCTCTATCCTGTATCCTTAATCACAGCACCAAACCCCAGGTCCCGAGGGCCCCAGAATGTGACAAAGCACGAAACCAACCAGAACAGTGCGAAAGCTGAGTCCTATTAGCATTTGTGCGAAGAGGTTAACAAGAAAAGGCATTTCAAAGACGTTGAAAGCACTCCCCGAGAAGCCCGTTCCACCTCCCTCTTCCCGGTTTTGCCCCCTTCCTCTCCCCTTTCTCCCTTCTTTTATCCCTCTCTGTTCTTTTATTTCTTCCTTTCCCCCCTCCTCCTTCCGTCCACCTACTCAACCCCGTATTCCAGTCTCTCACATGTCCCAAAAGGGACATCTACTTTCTTCATTAGGTTAAAACAAACAAACAAAACAAGCTGTTTTCATAAAATAAAAGGGCTCGGGGCTAGAGAGATGGCTCAGAGGTTAAGAGCACCGACTGCTCTTCCAGAGGTCCTGAGTTCAATTCCCAGCAACCACATGGTGGCTCACAACCATCTATAATTGAGATCTGGTGCCCTCTTCTGGCATGCAGGCATGGAGGCAGGGTGTTGTATTCATAATAAATAAATATTTAAAAAAAAATAAAAGGGCTCAAACTTTTCCATCCGGGATTGCTGGACTCCAAATCCAGTTTTCTTCTGACCTTGTAGTGGGAACAGGGATTGGCCGATCATGTAGGGAGGGGAAGCAGGGATTGGCTGACCAGGTGGGAGGGGCGTGGGTCAGAGACCGGCTGTCCATGCAGAGCAAGGATTGCTTACTGCTTTAGCTGTGCAGGGAAGGCAGACCCGATGGGAGCCCCTGGGAAGACAGTCCCGTCCATGCCTTACAGGGGCAGCACACCCCAGCCATGTCTCACCACAGCCTGCTAATGTCCCCCACTCCCAACTCTGTTTCTGTTGCAGCTTCTAGGGAGGTTCGAGACCCTCATTTTCTACTGGCCCTCGCTGATGTGCCTGGGGTTCCTGCTCGGTCGCTTCCTGCACATGTTCCTTAAGGCTCTGCCAATCCGCCTGGGCCTGGAGCCACAGGCAGTGAGTGCCGCCCAAATTAGGTGGTTTCTGAAGAGCTGTCCTCATAACAGCGGGGATGTGGGGGTGAGGTGGAGGGTGGGGGAGCGCCCATCACTGCTTCTCACCCTGCTTTCCTGCGCAGCCTCCCTGGTGAGGGAGACAAGCTTCTCAGAGCAGCGGTGGGTCCAGCCTGGGCTGGGAGAATTGAGGAGGGTCAGACCTCTGACCTTGGTGGGTGGAGGTGGGGAACAGGAGCCTGACAAAGCTGAAACCTGCCCCGAGGAATGACAGGATCTGGGATGACAAGGCTTGAATCCGAGCCTCCATGGCCAATGACCCCTTAAGAGACCAAATCCTGGCCAGGCACCTGTGAGCCACACATGCCCTCCTTCCTCACAGGAAGAAAAGTCCCTGCTGGAGGCCCACCAGGCAGAGCACGTGAAGCGACTCCTCAGCAAGCCCCGCCCGCAGTAAGCGCTCCTCTGCCTCTTCGCCCCTGCGCCCTGCCCCTGCGGTTTGAGCCAGGCCTGGGGGATGGGGGGGGGGACAGTCCCTGCTGAGACAGTGGAGAGGCACAGCTGATAGCAGGAATCAATCCAAAGCAGGCAAAAGCAGGGAGGGAAACGGCGAGCCCAGGACTCTAAAAAGACTTGAGAGGGAGTCTGTGTCAGGCCAACTGGACCAGGGGGCTTGAGAGACAACTTCAGAACTATGTCTTCCCAGTGCCCCCAACTGTGCTCTTGGCTGCCTGGGCCTCACGCCGGGTAGGCTCCCTCCACACACTACAGTCTCCAGACTTCAAGAGGAAAGAGACATTTCACTTTCCATTTTAAAAAATAAGTCATTTGAGTATACTCCACTGGATCAAATTCCAGCTGAAAAATAATCACTGTGTCAGATGGTTGGCCTACAGAGATTGTTGGAGCCTGAGTCACATGCTTCCTGTCTCACTAATTGGGACAGGAAGTAGTGGCAGCCTCGCTTAACAAGTAAGATCTAGGGTGGGGATTATTAGCTTCCCATGGGAGCATCTGAGATAGTCCAGCTAACTTCTGATTGGTTCCTTGCCACAAGGAGGGCATCAGACCTCCTAGTGACCAGGACATGAATGGCAACACCTTAGCCTGTCATGGCTGCTAAAACGGGGTGGTGGTGGGGAGGGTGGTCCCTTCACCACTAGTCTGCATTTCTCAGGGCAGACGGAAGAAACCAAGACAGAGCAAAAGGGGCTTGTGTCTGTGTCATTTCCACTGGGACGTCTCCCCTACGTCTCACATCACACCCAGGGTGGCCAGACCCTCCCCAGTTAGAACCTTGAGCTGCAAGAGAAGTCGGGGTTTCTGTGGTGGTTTTTGTTTGTTTGTTTGTATTTTGGTGCCTCAACACCTCCATTCTTTGTCCTTAAGGATGAGGGAAGGTGGGAAGTGGTGGGGACCCCCAGTGTCCCTTTTCTGGTGTTCATCCATTCACAGAGAAAAAGGAAAGTCTTGGTTTCAGACCAGGGTGTATGACTGGGACCCCTGCTTCCAGTTCCCCAGCAGGATGATTGGGACCCTCGTGCTGGCGTCCATCTGCCTGTACCTTGTAAGTAGCGCCATGAAAACCCTTCCCTGTTCCGTAATGGAGAAGTGTCCCGGCTGCGGTCACGCGGTCTTTGGGAGCAGCGCGTGCCGGATGCATGGGTCAGAAAGGAAGTTGGTGAGCTGAGGAAGAACAGTGCTGCCACCTTTCACCCGAATGCCACCCACGTGGTGACAGGCACAGGGGAGTTATAAATAAAACACCTTTAGTTCCAGCACACAGGAGACAGAGACAGGTCAATCTCTTGGGTCAAAGCTAACCTCTTCTATATAGACCGTGTTTCAGAAAAAAAAATCCATGTGGTAAAATTTAGCATTGACAGAGCTGGAGAGATGGCTCAGTGGTTAAGAGCACTGACTGTTCTTCCAGAGGACCCAGGTTCAATTCCCAGTATCCACAGTAGCTCGTAACTGTCTGTAACTCCAGTTCCGTGGGATCTGACACACACAGACACAAATGCAGGCAAAACACCAATGTGCAGAAAGCTAAAATAAATCATTAAAATAAAAAAATTGCTAAAAAATTTAGCATTGACTAACAGTTGATAAGGAAAAATATGGTTAGTATCATTTGATATGCAAAACTTACCAAGGAAAGTTGATGGAATTAATGGTCTCTAAAGAAAATTAACAATTATAGACAATAAATTATACTGTGAAGAATTAAAGTCATTTAAATATAAAGTAATTGATTCTCTTTGTTTTGTTTTGTTTTCCTCTGAGGCAGGGTTTCTCTGCATAGCCCTGGCTGTCCTGGAACTCACTCTGTAGACCAGGTTAGCCTCAATTCAGAGATCTGCCTGCTTCTGCCTCCTAAATGCTAGGATTAAAGTCATGTGCCACCACCACTGTCCAGCAGATAATTAATTCTCACGAAAATAATTTTAGTAAATTAAAGATGAAAGTGGGACATTACAACCAGTCAAAACTGAAATATCTTTCATTTGCTCTTTTCTCAAGAAAATGTTTTCCAATGTTGTAATTCTCACTTCAGTTTCATCAGATATAAAATCAAAACTCTGGTCATGGTCTAAGTCATTGGAAGTAAAATGACTTAGTCAAAGGCAGCTGTAGCATGCAGAATGCAGACAGTACAGTCTTGTTGTCTTTGCTTGTTTTTAAGGCAGTGGGACGATGTATCTTTAGAGTAAGTCTGTGGTTAAGGTTTTAAGAGAATGCATTATTAGGTTACACCGAAGTTCCAATGCCTTTCGTCTTAGTTAGGGTTTCCATTGCTATGAAGAAACACGTGACCATGGCAACTGTTTTTGAAGGAAAACATCTAATTGGGGCCGGCTTACAGTCCAGAGGTTGAGCTCATTGTCATCATGGCAGGAAGCATGGCAGCATGCAGCAGGCCTGATGGTGGAGAAGGAGCTGACAGTCCTACATCTCCATCCACAGGCAACAGGCAGTGGATTAAGACACACTTCCTCCGGCTGCCATTCTCTGTGAGCTTATGGGGGCCAATTACGTTCAAATTGCCACACCTTCGAAAATGCCAGTGGCTCCTCACTATGCGAGTCACCCCAACTCCCACCCTGATGCTGAGGGCATGTGCAGGCAGCTCTCTTCTCTGCAGTCATCTATCATGCGCCTGCCCATACCTAGGGCCTCAAGGCCACCAGTCAATAGCATGGAGGGAAAAATGGCAAGAATGCTTGCAGAAGGTTTTCCCGAACAAGGTGTAGAAGTACCACCTGTCCCTTCTGCTTGCTTCCCACTGCCCAAGAGGGTGATGTGGCCACAGCTAACAAAGGGAGGCTGGGAAACGCAGCCCAGTTCTATGACCAAAGAAGGGAGAATGTTTTTTTGTTTGTTTGTTTGTTTTTTTACGAGACAGGGTTTCTCTGTATTGTTTTGGAGGCTGTCGGTCCAGCCTGGCCTCGAACTCACAGAGATCCGCCTGCCTCTGCCTCCCGAGTGCTGGGATTAAAGGCGTGCGCCACCACCGCCCGGCGAGAATGGTTTTTTTAATGAATTAATTTAGTGTAGTTGTGTGTATAAAGGTATGTGTGTGTATCCATCCACATGTACAGAGGCCAAAAATTAACCGTGGGTACTGCTCCTCAGAGTCTTTTTTTTTTTTATCTGTGTGTTTATGTGTGATGAGTGAGCATGTGTAAGCATGCATGCAGTGTCACTGAACTCCTGGGATCTGCCCCTCTCTGCCTTCCTTGGGTTACAAGCACGTGCCACCATGCTGGATTTTTCATGTGGATGCTGAGGATCAAATCCAGGTCCTCATGCTTGCTCCACAAGCACTTCATCCACCGAGCTGCTCCCCCCAGTCCCCGGAGGATGGATTTAAATGGACAACTGGAGCTCTCTGCACACTGAATAACTAACTTGGCTTGGTATCATGGTGTGTCTTGAGAAGTTACTGAACATTTACTGTATAGTAAGCACTGTGTTCAGAGCTAGGAGAGGGCAAAGAGATGATTCAGCAAAGTCCAAGTCCAGGAGAAGCTGTGGATCCAAGAGAAGGAGTAAGACATGGAAGGAGAGAGAGTGCTGTCATTCTAGAAGAGATTTTCTTTTCCAAGACAGGGTTTCTCTGGGTAGTTTTGGAGCCTGTCCTGGAACTTACTTTGTAGACCAGGCGGGCCTCGAACTCACAGCCTGCCTCTCCCTCCCCTTTCTAGAAGAGAAAAGGAAATGGCGGTGTTCTGAAGTTCAGAGAGTCACTCTGAACTAAGGCTAAGAAACTGCCCTATGATGGCGGCATTCGCACCCCACTCTAGAAAACAAACATGATTTGGTTGGTGGAGAAGGAAGGTGATGGGAACCAGAGAAGCAGCGGTGTGGTGGGCGGACAGGACAGAGGACAAGCTCTGCTGTCACATGGACTCCTTCTCCAGTTTGGCTCCTGTTTAGTGAAGGGAGCCATGGAGATGTGGCTGGTCTTGCCCCCAGGGTCACCCTTCCTTCACTGGATTCCATTATCTTTCTTTCTTTTTTATTTATTTTTTTTTTTTTTTGGTTTTTGAGACAGGGTTTCTCTGTATTGTTTTGGAGGCTGTCCTGGAACTTGCTCTGTAGACCAGGCTGGCCTCGAACTCACAGAGATTCGCTTGCCTCTGCCTCCTGAGTGCATGGATTAAAGGTGTGTGCCACCAATGCTGGGCAGATTCCATTATCTTTCAAGGGTCCTTTGAGCCATTATGGGTGAAGAACAAGCTTTGCACAGTCATTTTCTAAAAGAGTTCTGGCTGCCTGGAAGAGGCTGGCCTCAAGTCCAGAGAATTCTGTCCCTGTGCTGGGCTGGTCTCCGGAGACCTTGACGCCTGCCTGTGCTCTGCATTCCCAGTTCATTGTCATCGAGTTCTGTGTGTTTCTACTTGTGAGAGACAAGTTGGACATGTTTGAGGACCTGCTGCAGAGCTACCTCGCCCACATGAACGAGACGGGGACCTCGGCCCCTGTCCTCCTACAAGTGAAAGAACTGATCAGTGTCACTAAAGGTAAAGAGACCCCTCTCCCCATCGTCCAAACAGCACTGAGACTGCCTGACCAGGGTGCCTGGGTTTCTTTTGTGTTAGAGTTGACCTGGGCCTTCCTGGGTCAGCTGGGACAGAGGGCTCAGGACAGCTCATTTGGTTGAAAACCATTTGGAGCTGATATGTGACAGTTACATAGCTTGGTCTATTTGTGCGACTCCTAGCAGTGGGATCAGGGCCTGAACCTATTTCTCATACTGGGTCACCTCACTCAGCCTAAATACAGAGGGAGGAGCTTAGTCCAACCTCAACTTGATACGCCATGCTTTGTTGACACCCCTGGAAGGCCTGCCCCTTTCTGAACAGAAACAGAGGAGTGGATGGGGCAGGGAGCAGAGAGGGGAGAGGTAGGAGGAGGGTACGGGAGGAGGGGAGGGAGGGGAAACTTCGGTCAGGATGTAAAATAAAGGAAAAATTTTAATTAATTTTTAAAAAGTGGGGGGAAAAAAAGAAAGAAACCATTTGGGCCTGAACTGAACGTTCCCATAGAACAGAGGCTCTCAACCTGTGGGTCATGACCTCTTAGGGGTTAAACAACCCTTTCATAGGGGTTGCCTAAGACCTTTGGAAAACAGACATTTACATTATGATTCACAACAGTAGCAAACTTACAGTTATGAAGTAGCAACGAAAATGCTTTTATGGTTGGGGGTCACAACACCATGAAAAAACATATAAAAGTGTCGCATCACATCGTTATGGAGGTTGAGAACCAGTGCCTTAGAGGTTGAGAACCAGTGCCTTAGAGGTTGAGAACCAGCGCCTTAGAGGTTGAGAACCAGCGCCTTAGAGGTTGAGAACCAGCGCCTTAGAGGTTGAGAACCAGCGCCTTAGAGGTTGAGAACCAGCGCCTTAGAGGTTGAGAACCAGCGCCTTAGAGGTTGAGAACCAGCGCCTTAGAGGTTGAGAACCAGCGCCTTAGAGGTTGAGAACCAGCGCCTTAGAGGTTGAGAACCAGTGCCTTAGACGGTTTTCATCTTAGTAGTTGTTTTGGTTTCCTTTCCCATTGTGGGGATAAAAGGCTCTTACAAAAGCGACCTAAGGGAGACTTTTATTCTGGCTCACAGCTTAAGGCACAGTCTGTCACTCATAGAAAGCAAAGCCCAGGAGCTTGAAGCAGTGACATGGTAGCCACTGTCAGGAAACGGAGAGGCAAGAGTGTTCTGTGCTCAGCTCCCTTTCCCCACTGAAATAGTCGGGACCTGGGAATGGTGCCGCCCACAGTGGGCGGGCCTTCCCTTGATTCAGAACACTTAGGGGGTGTGGCCTTGATGGAGGAGGACTTTGAGACTTTAAAGTTCTGGTTGCAGAGATGTACACACTCAGTGGCTGCCACAGCCGCCATGCCTGCCTGTCACCATGCCTCCCCACCATGATCTTAACAGCTGTGAAGTGATTTTTCATTGTGTTTCTAATTTGCATCCCCTGAGGATAAATAATGAGCATTTTTTTCTGGATGTACATCGGATATTTGTGTATCTCCTTTGGAGGACTGTCTATTGAGCCCACTTTGTAACAAGAAAGGTACTTTATGACAGAAGCTTTCTCAGATAATGCCCTACCCTAATGATAGGCCCACCATCCCTGGAGAGAGGTAATGTCCACTATCTCCTAGATGAGAAAGAATCACGGACAAGATGTCAGGATAAATGCCAACTGGGGACATGACTAAATGACTGTCTTAATCAAAGTTCTATTGCTATGAAGGGACACCATGACCATGGCAACCCATATAAAAGAAAACATTTAACTGGAGCTGGCCTACATTCAGAGGTTCAGTTCATTGTCATCATGGCAGGAAGCATGGCGGCACACGGGTAGACATGGTGCTGGAGGAGTAGCTGAGAGTTCTCTCTCTGGAGGAGTAGCTGAGAGTTCTCTCTCTGGAGGAGTAGCTGAGAGTTCTCTCTCTGGAGGAGTAGCTGAGAGTTCTCTCTCTGGAGGAGTAGCTGAGAGTTCTCTCTCTGGAGGAGTAGCTGAGAGTTCTCTCTCTGGAGGAGTAGCTGAGAGTTCTCTCTCTGGAGGAGTAGCTGAGAGTTCTCTCTCTGGAGGAGGAGCTGAGAGTTCTCTCTCTGGAGGAGTATCTGAGAGTTCTCTCTCTGGAGGAGGAGCTGAGAGTTCTCTATCTGGAGGAGTAGCTGAGAGTTCTCTCTCTGGAGGAGTAGCTAAGTGTTCTCTCTCTGGAGGAGGAGCTGAGAGTTCTCTCTCTGGAGGAGTAGCTGAGAGTTCTCTCTCTGGAGGAGTAGCTGAGAGTTCTCTATCTGGAGGAGTAGCTGAGAGTTCTCTCTCTGGAGGAGTAGCTAAGTGTTCTCTATCTGGAGGAGGAGCTGAGAGTTCTCTCTCTGGAGGAGTAGCTGAGAGTTCTCTCTCTGGAGGAGTAGCTGAGAGTTCTCTATCTGGAGGAGTAGCTGAGAGTTCTCTATCTGGAGGAGTAGCTGAGAGTTCTCTATCTGGAGGAGTAGCTGAGAGTTCTCTCTCTGGAGGAGTAGCTGAGAGTTCTCTCTCTGGAGGAGTAGCTGAGAGTTCTCTATCTGGATCCACAGGCAGCAGGAAGGGAGAGATACTGGGCCTGGCTTGGGCTTTTGAAACCTCAAAGCCTGCCTTCACAGTGATATACTTTCTCCAACAAGACCTCGTCTACTCCAAGGTCACAACTCCTAATCCCTCCCAACTAGTATCACTCCCTGATGACTAAGCATTCAAACATAGGAGCCTCAAACAACAACAGCAAAACCCATGTGGACGGCTCTTGAGCTCTTGAGGAATAATACTCAAGGCTGACCTCTGCCCTCCCCCATATATGCATATGTCCATGCAACCAACTCCTGAAAATTGTACTCTGGCATGTGTATACACACACACACACACACACATATGCATGCACAAAGTTTGGTCTCATTTGTAAAATGGGACTTAGGCAATATGATGGATTTCAAAAGATTTTATGGCACTGATGGTTTATAATCCTAACTCACCTAATATCCCTGTATTGGTTCCTTTTCTATCAAAGTGATAAAACACCACAACCAAGGCAACTTATAGAGGCTTCCTGTGGGCTTATGGCTCAGAAGGATAAGAGTCCGCTGTGGCAGGAAGGCATCAAGCAGGAATGGCGGCTGGAGCAGAACTGAGAAGTTGGGAGTGCCCATCTTGAATTGCAAACAAGAGCCTTTAAACTCTCAAAGCCGGCCTGTGGTGACACACCTCCTCCAACAAGGCCTCATCTCCTAAACTTTCCCAGAGAGCTCCACCAACGGATCAAGCATTCTAACATCTGATCCTGTGGAGAACATTCTCACTCAAACCACCACGATCCCTTAAGGCACGAGACACCCGTTGTAGGTGATTTTCTTCCCACTAAGGCTAGAGAGCTGGGAGAAGAACACAGCCAGAAGGGGACATCTTTGCTATGAGTTACTTTCTTGCAGCTCTGTGGTCACTGAAAGTTGCCTTACAAGTGAACCCTTCCATATTTCTGTGCTTTACTGTGGCCTGGGAGCATCTTATGCACCTTTAATGTAGATTTTCGCTCAGTACGATGAGTCCTTGAGTTCCACACTCAAAGAGCACATTATACTTCCATTTTGGTACCACTCATTTAAAAAAAATATTTGTTTATTTTTTGTAGTCAAGAGTTTTTCGTCAGGTCTGCTAGTCAGCTCTGTCCCACCAGCTGGCTCCCAAATACTTACACAGAGACTTACTATTATTATTAATTCTTGGCCGGTAGCTTAGGCTTGTTACTAACTAGATCTTACAACTTTAATTAACCCATATTTCTATCTGTGTTCTACCATGTGGCTTGGTACCTTATTTCAGTACGGCATGTTCATCTCCTGCTTCCTCGACATGGCCTCCCTACTTCAAAGACTCCTCCCAGTGTCCTCTCTCCCTGAAAACCCTACCTAGCTATGGGCCGTCAGTTCTTTGTTAATCGGTGATACATATTTACAGTGTACAAAGACTGTTCCACAGCGGTTCTTACTTTAGGTTGATGGGCACCTGTGTGCCTGGTGCCCTCGGGGTCATTCATCTGCCTTTGATTCCTGGCTGCAAATGCTATGGAACCCACTGTCCCAAGCTCCTCCTGCTGTGACCTCTCCACCATGAGTGACCGTGCCTAAGAACTCTGAGCCAAAATCAACTCTCCCTTCCTTAAACAGCATTGCCAGAGCAGAAGAGTACCCAAGGCAGAGCCTAACTAACAAAACCCCATGAAAGGTGAATGCTACAACCTGTTGATCCCAGCTAGTCTTGTGGCCAAGGCACTCCCACCCTATCCCCTCCCCCAAAGTTGCAATTAGAAGTTAGCTATTTCCTGGATGGGGCCTACCGTTGATATGGGCCATACATAGTTTCCCCAAACATAACTGAGTGTCGTTGGAACACATGAGTATCAAAAGTTTCAGAGTACCATGCAGGAAATCAACGATACCGGGGGTATGTGTGGCTAAACCCTCGGAGAACCAGGTAAAGGAGTGTAATAGGTTCGCCCACACCTTTCTGATTAGGGTCTGCTCTTGGCAAGTCCACTCCAGGTGTGTTTTCCAAGCCCTCTCACGTCACCCTTCACGTTTCAGGAGTCTGGGTGGTGACCATTTTTCCTGCCTCCCTCACGTGTGTCAGCTATCTCTTCCACATTTTGGCCTGTTACAGGTAAGAGAATTCTAGGAGTCATTTGTGTGACTTCAGCTAAAAATATGCATAACATTCTTTATCCAGAATTCCTGACCAGTTCCAGTGGCATTAGGAAGTGGATATAAGGGCCAGGTATGGTCTAATGCATATAAAATATATAATAAAAATATAAGACTAACAGGTTGGACATCTATGATGACCTATCATTATGCTTAGAGTCCTCATCCCAACTTCATCCCAACCTTGGGAGGTGAGCATTTTCCTCTCAACGTTTACAGTTGACAAAGCTCAGACTCAACAAGATTAAGGTACATGCTCCAGCACCAAGCAGAGGGGCAGGTGCTCCCAATCTCGAGACCTTGGCACTTCTTGTAAATTACCGTTGTCCTACTGCTCAGGGCTGATAATACTCCCAGCCCTGGGATCCCTGAGGCTCCCAGCTCAAGGGATCATCCATGGAGGTGGGGTCAAGAGGCCTGGGAACAGCATCTACCTGAGGAACAGCAGTGTAGGAAGAGGGCACATGCTTGTGCCCACTCTCTGTCTCTCTGTCTCTCTATCTGTCTTTCTCTGTCTCTGTACACTTCTTGCACCTTGGTAGGCATGTCTTTCTTTAGATTAGGGAAACTTTTTTCATGGTTTTGTTGAAAATATTCTCCGTGCCTTTGACCTGGGTTTCTTCTCCTTCTGTTCCTATCGTTTGTAAATTAGGGCTTTTCATAGTGTCCCAGATTTCCCAGATGTTTTGTGCCTAGGAGTTTTTAGACTTAACATTTTATTTGACCAAGGTGTCAGCGTCTTCTCTGTTGTCTTCAGTGCCTGAGACTGTCTTCCATCTCTTGTGTTCTGTTGGAGAGGCTTGCCTCTGAGGCTCCATGTTTGAGTTCCTAAGCTTTTCACTTCCAGTTTCTCCTCAGTTTGGGCTTTCTTTATTGATTCTGTTTTCACTTTCTCGTCTTCAACAGTTTTCTTCACTTCACGCCACTGCTTGCTTGTGCTTTCGTGGGCTTATTTAAGTCCTCTTTGAAGTCCTTGATCATATTTATAATAGCACACTGAAGCCCTTGCCTTATGTTTCAACTATACTGGATTTCTCAGGGCCAACTGTAGGAGGGCTGATGGCCTCTAGTGGAGACGTATTGTCCTGGCTGTTATTGGTTGTGTGTTCACGCTGGCATTTGGGTTTGGGATGATGGTAACTCTATGTGTTAATATCTGGTCTTGTCTCTGTTGGGTGGGTTTCTGATGTCCTCTCTGGTAGAGAGTGCTTCTGAGTCCCTTCCAGGTATGACCACTGGGGTTCCAGCAGAGCTTGTTTCTAGGATGACGGGAAGGAATGGGGAGAAGGAATGGAGATGGACGGAGGGCAGAGGGCCGAGAGCATCTACAGGAGGGAGGAAAGCTGAGTCTGCTGTGAGGACCTGAGTCACTGGCTGATGCAGCCAGTGGGTTTCCAGGGAGACAGTGCTTCGGGTGCTGGTGGCTGAGACTAAGGGATGGGCAATGGGGGAAGGCTGTGGGAGAGAATCTGCTCAGTTCCCTGGGAATGGGGCCCAGAGCTGCAGTTTTCCTGCCTGTCTAAGAATTTCCAATTTAGAGATCATGAAAAGTAAAACCCAGCCAGGAAAAATACTGGAGATTGAGTATAAAGTATGAAAGAAAGAAAAAGGGAGGGAAGGAGGGAAGGAAGGAAGCAAGAAGGAAGGAAGGAAGGAAAGAAGGAAGAAGGAAGGAAGGAAGAAAAGAAGGAAGGAAGCAAGAAGGAAGGAAGGAAGGAAAGAAGGAAGAAGGAAGGAAGGAAAGAAAGAAGGAAGGAATGAAGGAAGAAGGAATGAAGGAAGGAAGGAGGAATGAAGGAAGAAGGAAGGAAGGAAAGAAGGTAGAAGGAAGGAAGGAAAGAAGGAAAGAAGAAGGAGGAAGGAGGGAAGGAAGGAAGGAAAGAAGGAAGGAAGAAGGAGGGAAGGAAGGAAGGAAAGAAGGAAGAAGGAAGGAAGGAAAGAAAGAAGGAAGAAGGAAGGAAGGAAGAAGGAAGGAAGAAGGAAGGAAGGAGGGAAGGGAGGAGAGAAGGAAAGAAGGAAGAAGGAAGGAAGAAGGAAGGAAGGAAGGAAGAAGGAAGGAAGGAGGGAAGGAAAGAAGGAAGGAAGGATGAAGGAAGGAAGGAAGGAAGGAGGAAAGGAAAGAAGGAAGGAAGGAAGGAGAGAAGGAAAGAAGGAAGGAAGGAGGAAGGAAGGAAGAAGGAAGGAAGGAGGGAAGGAAACAAGGAAGGAAGGAGGAAGGAGGGAAGGAAGGAAGGAAGGAAGAAGGAAGGAAGGAGGAAGGAAGGAAAGAAGGAAGGAAGGAAGGAAGAAGGAAGGAAGGAAGAAGGAAGGAAGGAAGAAGGAAGGAAGGAAGAAGGAAGGAAGGAAGGAGGTAGGAAGAAGGAAGGAAGGAAGGAAGGATCCCATAAATGGAGTGTGGCCTAGGAGCAGAACACTGCCAACCTAACCATCACATATAGCCCAGAAACTGGACAGGGGTGTGGGAAATGGAGGGGTGAGGGGTGGGGTTCTATGAGGGGTTGTTGCCCCTTTAATTTTTTTCTGTTTAAAAATGTATTATTAGGCTGGGCATGGTGGTGTACACCTGTAATCCCATCACTCAGGAGGCAGAGTTAAGCAGATCTCTGTGAGTTCTAAGCTAGTTTGGTCTACGCAGTGAGTTCCAGTACAGTCAGGGCTATGTAGAGAGCCTATCTCAAAGCAAACAGAAAATACCCCCACACAACAAAAATGTATTATTACTGTATGTGTGGGTGAGAGTATGATGTGTCTGTGTGGGTGCATGTTCCACAGCATGTGTGGAGATCAGAGGAATACTTATGGAAGCTGACTGTCTCCTTTTACCATGTGAGCCCTAGGGGCTGGCTGAACTCACATTAGGCTCAGCAGTAATGGAGTTAGCCTGGTAAGCTGTCTTGCTCATCCTTGATTTTACTTTATGCTGCTATAAGGTTAAGCTATCAACGAAACTGACTTTCTGGTGTTAATTGTTTAAAAATATTAAGTAATATGCCTTCACCATAAAAGAATAAGTATAGAAAATGGAATGAAAAAAACCATATAATCTCATCAGATTCGATTGCTGTTATTTTTTATTTTTATTTATTTACTTATTTATTTTGGTTTTTCGAGACAGGGTTTCTCTATGGCTTTGGAGGCTGTCCTGGAACTAGCTCTTGTATACCAGGCTGGTCTCGAACTCACAGAGATTCGCCTGCCTCTACGCCACCACGCCCAGCTCTCGATTGCTGTTATGATTTGATCAATATGCGTTATTTTTGTGAACTATGGTAACCTTGGAGATGCTGAAGAGAAATCAGAACTTTGCCTGGAGCTTTAGCTCACACCGACTGCTGCAGACCTTTCTGTAGCTCTTTCTGTAGACCTTTCTGTAGACCTTTCTGTAGATCTTGCTATAGATCTTTCTGTAGACCTTTCTGTAGACCTTTCTGTAGACCTTTCTGTAGACCTTTCTGTAGATCTTTCTGTAGACCTTTCTGTAGATCTTTCTGTAGACCTTTCTGTAGATCTTTCTGTAGACCTTTCTGTAGACCTTTCTGTAGATCTTTCTGTAGACCTTTCTGTAGACCTTTCTGTAGACCTTTCTGTAGATCTTTCTGTAGACCTTTCTGTAGACCTTTCTGTAGACCTTTCTGTAGACCTTTCTGTAGACCTTTCTGTAGTCCTTTCTGTAGATCTTTCGGTAGATCTTTCTGTAGACCTTTCTGTAGACCTTTCTGTAGTCCTTTCTGTAGATCTTTCGGTAGATCTTTCTGTAGACCTTTCTGTACCTCTTTCTGTAGATCTTTCTGTAGACCTTTCTGTAGATCTTTCTGTAGACCTTTCTGTAGATCTTTCTGTAGACCGTTCTGTAGACCTTTCTGTAGATCTTTCTGTAGACCTTTCTGTAGATCTTTCTGTAGACCTTTCTGTAGACCTTTCTGTAGATCTTTGTGTAGACCTTTCTGTAGACCTTTCTGTAGATCTTTCTGTAGACCTTTCTGTAGACCTTTCTGTAGATCTTTCTGTAGGTCTTTCTGTAGACCTTTCTGTAGATCTTTCTGTAGATCTTTCTGTAGACCTTTCTGTAGACCTTTCTGTAGATCTTTCTGTAGATCTTTCTGTAGACCTTTCTGTAGACCTTTCTGTACCTCTTTCTGTAGATCTTTCTGTACACTTTTCTGTGGATCTTTCTGTAGACCTTTCTGTAGACTTTTCTGTAGACCTTTCTGTAGATCTTTCTGTAGATCTTTCTGTAGTCCTTTCTGTAGATCTTTCGGTAGATCTTTCTGTAGACCTTTCTGTAGATCTTTCTGTAGATCTTTCTGTAGACCTTTCTGTAGACTTTTCTGTAGACCTTTCTGTAGACCTTTCTGTAGACCTTTCTGTAGATCTTTCTGTAGACCTTTCTGTAGATCTTTCTGTAGACCTTTCTGTAGACCTTTCTGTAGACCTTTCTGTAGATCTTTCTGTAGATCTTTCTGTAGACCTTTCTGTAGATCTTTCTGTAGACCTTTCTGTAGACCTTTCTGTAGATCTTTCTGTAGTCCTTTCTGTAGATCTTTCTGTAGATCTTTCTGTAGACCTTTCTGTACCTCTTTCTGTAGATCTTTCTGTAGACCTTTCTGTAGACCTTTCTGTAGACCTTTCTGTAGACCTTTCTGTAGATCTTTCTGTAGACCGTTCTGTAGACCTTTCTGTAGACCTTTCTGTAGACCTTTCTGTAGATCTTTCTGTAGACCGTTCTGTAGACCTTTCTGTAGATCTTTCTGTAGACCGTTCTGTAGACCTTTCTGTAGACCTTTCTGTAGATCTTTCTGTAGACCTTTCTGTAGATCTTTCTGTAGACCTTTCTGTAGACTTTTCTGTAGACCTTTCTGTAGATCTTTCTGTAGATCTTTGTGTAGACCTTTCTGTAGATCTTTCTGTAGATCTTTCTGTAGACCTTTCTGTAGACCTTTCTGTAGATCTTTCTGTAGACCTTTCTGTAGACCTTTCTGCAGACCTTTCTGTAGACCTTTCTGTAGATCTTTCTGTAGATCTTTCTGTAGACCTTTCTGTAGATCTTTCTGTAGATCTTTCTGTAGATCTTTCTGTAGACCTTTCTGTAGATCTTTCTGTAGATCTTTCTGTAGACCTTTCTGTAGATCTTTCTGTAGACCTTTCTGTAGATCTTTCTGTAGATCTTTCTGTAGACCTTTCTGTAGATCTTTCTGTAGATCTTTCTGTAGACCTTTCTGTAGACCTTTCTGTAGATCTTTCTGTAGATCTTTCTGTTGATCTTTCTGTAGACCTTTCTGTAGATCTTTCTGTAGACCTTTCTGTAGACCTTTCTGTAGATCTTTCTGTAGACCTTTCTGTAGACCTTTCTGTAGATCTTTCTGTAGACCTTTCTGTAGATCTTTCTGTAGACCTTTCTGTAGATCTTTCTGTAGACCTTTCTGTAGACCTTTCTGTAGATCTTTCTGTAGACCTTTCTGTAGATCTTTCTGTAGACCTTTCTGTAGACCTTTCTGTAGACCTTTCTGTAGATCTTTCTGTAGACCTTTCTGTAGATCTTTCTGTAGTCCTTTCTGTACCTCTTTCTATAGATCTTTCTGTAGATCTTTCTGTAGTCCTTTCTATAGATCTTTCTGTAGACCTTTCTGTAGACATTTCTGTAGATCTTTCTTTGGACCTTTCTGTAGACCTTTCTGTAGATCTTTCTGTAGTCCTTTCTATAGATCTTTCTGTAGTCCTTTCTGTAGACATTTCTGTAGATCTTTCTGTAGACCTTTCTGTAGACCTTTCTGTAGATCTTTCGGTAGATCTTTCTGTAGACCTTTCTGTACCTCTTTCTGTAGATCTTTCTGTAGACCTTTCTGTAGACCTTTCTGTACCTCTTTCTGTAGATCTTTCTGTAGACCTTTCTGTAGCTCTTTCTGTAGACCATTCTGTAGATCTTTCTACAGAAAGTGCTGTGATTATGCTACCTACTCTTCCTCTCCCACAGAAAGCACATGAAGAGGCTGTGGGCTGGAGACAAAGACTTCCTCCCTCAGAACTTCCAGAGTCCGTCCTCAGCAGCCAGTGTGGTGAGTCTGTAGGGGAGCTGAGCCAGAGATGTCAGGCCAGGCCTCTGTCCCGAGATGCCGCTCTGTGAAGAACCTGCTTTGCTTTATGGCTGACCCCGGATCAGATGGGGTCCTGGGTACAAGGCCTGCAGGGAAGGAAGCTCTCATCCTATTGAGACCCCTGTTTTCCTTCTAACTCCAGGTCGCCATTGCAAGGTACTCAGGCTGGCAAATAGCCTACATCCTCTGGGGTAAGTGTCACCCCAGCACCCATGTAGCCCAGCCCATGTTCCCTGGGCTCTCTCCATTGGCAAGGACAGACATGGAAGGGCTAGAGAAACAGACATAGCTTCTAGCTTTGAGGAGTCTGGAGAACGGTGGAGAAACACCATGTCCCATCTCCCACCTGCCCTCCTCTAACTGGCTGTTTGCTAAGGGCCCCAGTGAGCAGAGGAGGAGGTCGCCTCCACACCAGCTTGGGACTCAAGGGCTTTCTAGGGGAGCTGACATTCGAAATGTGTCTGGCAGAGTGCTGGGAAAGCAGGATGACGGGGAAATCATGGTACCAGAAGAAACAGCTCCAGCAAATGTGTCAAGTGCCTTTGGAGGGAGAGGGCATAGGCCAGGTCTGCCTGCAGGGAGGCATACGGGGTGGGCTAAGAGGGACCCCTAGTGACCTCCTCGACTTCATCTGCAGGCTACCTCATCATCCATGTGGTGCAGAGCCTTTGCGGTGTGATGCTCATGTACAGCCTGGTGCTACCCATCCTCCACCACCAAGGCCTGGAGATGCTGCGTGGGCTGGGCCTTGGGGTGTAAGTTCTGAGCAGACAACCTCTCCTCACTGATCCTGGAGACACAGCTCTGGGTCCAAGTTCTTGTTCTGATGACCCAGGGATGGGTCATAACAGCCCCTCCCAGGGAGGGGATCTATGTTTTCAAGTCTTCTCCCGTCATTCCATGGGACTTCACATTCATGTGTGTGATACACAGAATTCCATTTCCCACCAAGGAAATAAGTTGTAGGGGGATGAAGCAGGAGGTGGGACAGGAGGAAGGGGCAGGAACCACGGGTTAGCTATCTGATCTGTTGTGTTGCCCAGTGCAAAATCCTTCCCCACCCCAGAGCGTCCATAGCTCTCTCCAAGCACTTGCCGCCCGGGTACACCGCCGCCCATGTATACTGCCACCCTTGTATGCTGCCGCCCGGGTACACCGCCGCCCATGTATACTGCCACCCTTGTATGCCGCCGCCCGGGTACACCGCCGCCCATGTATACTGCCACCCTTGTATGCTGCCGCCCGGGTACACCGCTGCCCGTGTATGCCGCCGCCCGGGTACGCCGCCGCCCGTGCCGCCCGGGTACACCGCCGCCCGTGTACACTGCCGCCCGGGTACACCGCCGCCCGGGTACACCGCCGCCCGTGTACGCCGCCGCCCGGGCCAGTTCAGCTGGAGGACTTGGCTGCTCTTTGCCTGGAGCCACCCGTGCGCATGCAGGGCTGTCTGTCTGTCTGCTCCATGGCATCTTCTCAAGCTTATTCTTTGCTTTCATGCAGGGCTGTCTGTCTGCTCCATGGCATCTTCTCAAGCTTATTCTTTGCTTTCATGCAGGGCTGTCTGTCTGCTCCATGGCATCTTCTCAAGCTTATTCTTTGCTTTCATTTTCAACGTGAAAGGATTGCGTGCGCTTGGCTATGCTGTTCTGAGGACGGCCAACCTTAGCAAAAGGGGACACAAAGGGGAACCGTGGGTTCTGATCCGGAGCTAGAGAGTCAGCATGTGGCCTTGGAGCACCTCCTCTTTGGGGGGCTTTTTTTTTTTGCCCGTGTTCTCCATAGGCACAGGAGTGGGTGGGATCAAAGATCAGACCTTGCTCTTCTGGGTGCTTGCTCTCTCTCCCTCCCTCCCTCCCTCTCCTTCACCCTCTCTTTCCTTCTCTCTCTCTGTCTCTCCCTCTGTCTATCTGTCTCTATCTCTTTATCTGTCTCTTTCTCTGTGTGTCTCTGTCTGTCTCTTTTGTGTGTGTGTGTGTGTGTGTGTCTGTCTGTCTGTCTGTCTGTCTGTCTGTCTGTCTCTCCCTCTCTCTCCACTCACTGTGTATCAGAGCAGGGCCTGGGACAGTAGAATAGACCACCTCAGGGTGGACCTGCCCTGTGTTTCAGCCTCACCGTTTCCGTAGTCGTGGGCATCATGATCCTGCAGGTGTGGATTGCTGGCAGATTCTTCCTGCAGCCCAAGCTGAGCGCGGCTGACAAGCAGAAGCCCCTGGCTCTCCATAACAGGTGAGGCGGAGGAGGGCAGTGGGGATGTACGGCTGCCGCTGCCGCTTCCACCTTCTACCCAGCAGAGCTTGGGTTCTGGAGGGCTCTGAATTCTGTGAGCGGTTACTACGCTGTGCACGGGGGAGGCTCTGGGACCATGTCACCTGGGATCCAGAATTGCCTTTTCCAGTGGTAAGAGAGCTGTGTGAGCTTGTATGACTTCACTAAATGTGTGAACTTCAGCTTCCCCATTTGTAAATTATTTTGCATTCCTTAAAGGAGTGTTTTAAGGAAGAGACATGTAAAATATGAACAGTACAGCCAAGTGCATGTATTTGTCATCCATTCATTCATTGAGGCAACCTTAGCACTGACGACAAAGAGATAGATATCCCTACTCACCACCTCTAAGAGCTTCATCGATTACCAGAGTAGACTGGCACCTGGGTAAGGGACAGAGATTCCTGAGTGATCTAGAGAAGAGTAGGAGGGGGTGGGGGCAGAGTCTGGGAGGAGGGGAGAGGTCAGAGAGGAGGAGAGAGCTGGGAGAATAGTGAGAGCCCCCAAGTGTCCACCATACAATGTCCTTACACAGTGGGAACACCAAGGGACACAGAGTAACAAGACCAGAAAGTCCTCTGTCAGAGTAGTCTGTGACAAACAGCGCCATGTGGCCAGGTGGTCCTTTGGGACCTTTCCTCTGGAGGACCAGGAACAGGTCTGTCTGGGGCTGGTCCTATGGCAGTGGCAAGGATGAACCACAATGTTGTTGGTGGTATCTGTAGTCCTCTGAGAAGCCGCATGCAAGAGTCCTAAGATCACACAAACAAGTAGCAACCACCCTGCTCTGTGCACAGTGCTCCCCCCCCCCCCCGCCAGCACTGTGAGCTGGCACTCAGCTCCACTTATGATCCAGCAGGAGATTGTAAACTTAGGAGGCAGTGTCCCAGAATTTAATGTCTGGTCTGGATGGAGCCAGAGCAGACTATTGCCACCTTGCCTGACTGAGGGGGCTGTCTCTTGCCTGCTTCTGCCTGCAGGAGAGCGTTCCACAACTTCAACTACTTCCTGTTTTTCTACAACGTGCTGCTGGGCCTGGGTGCCTGCCTGGCCAGGCTGCTCATCAGCTGCCTCCTGGGCACGTGGCTGATTGCACGCATTGACAGGACCATCATGCAGAGCGGCTACGAGCGTGCAGACATGGGTGAGTGACGGTCCTACTGACCACCCCGTGTCTTTGTGGAAGCTTCCCTGAAAAGATGGATATGAGTTCATACCTTCATGGGCCTAGAACTTGTCTTCTGGTAGAGGTCATAAAACCAAGTCATAGAAACTCGCATTCTGGGCTGGGGCGATGGCTTGGTCCTTAAAGGGCTTACTGTGCAAGCTTAAGGACCTGAGTTTGATCAACAGAACCTATGCAAAAAAGTCATGCAAGGTGTGATCTGCTTGCCATCGCAGTACTGGGGATGTGGAGGGAGGAGGATCCTTAGGGATGACTGGACAGACAGCCTAGCCTAATCGGTGAGCCTCAGGTTTGGGTGAAAGCCCCCTTCTTTCCTGTATACATGTGAACACACACAAGAATTGTGTATTCTGGTGGTCGGAGGGAATTCATGGTTCCTTAACCCTGCCCATTCCACAGGCCATTGATATGTGGGACAGGGGACTCAAACTTTCCGAATAGATGGAGGTGAGACACGTCTCAGAATGATTAGTATTGCCACTTGAACATTTAGTGAAGCAAGTATCTGGTTTAATATACTCCAAAACCAAAGCTGTTCCTGAGGAGGTAAAATTAGCGTTTCCGCCCCCGGGCATGCTCATTCATTCCCTCTGCTGTTTAAGAGCTGTACTGAACACCTTCCGTCTTGTCTTGGCTGCTCTCAGCCTCTTTAAGCTTCAAGTTCTCTGTCAAATGCACAGAGTGGAATCCTTCTACATCTTTACAATGACTCTGCAGATTCTCTGTAAGGACTCAGACCACTAGAACAAAAGAAAATGACTAGCAGCTATCCAGGACAGGAGGGGTAGAGGCAGGCAGGTCTGTGAGTTCAAGGCCAGCATGGTCTACACAGTGACTTCCAGACCAGGGACACACAGGGAAACTGTTCCAATAATAATTGAAGATGATGATAACAATAATAAATAACAATTGTACCATAAAAAGCACAACTGGGCCATGGTGGGGGTGTGTGGCTGGGCCTGACCTGCTTTCTCCTGGGTTTTCAGGCTTCAGTGCATGGGTTGGCATGCTCTTTGTGGACCATTATCACACCAACCCTGTGCTGGTCAGCTTTTGCCACATCCTAATCACAAGCCACAGGGACCGGAAGCTGCAGAAGACCACGAAATACTGGTACCTGAACCAGTCAGCAGGTAGTGTCTCCTGTTTGAACCTGCACTGGGTTCGGAGTGGGAGATGGAGGCCCAAGGCTCCCTGGGACTCCCCTTATTGCTCCCCCTCCTCTGCATCCCTTTGGGCCAGGCTGCTCGGGAAGCAGAGCTCCCATCAGTCAAGCTGCATGGCCTTGGTCTGCACACTAGCTCCCCTGCCTATTCCAGAACTGAGCCCCAGTTCTGCTAGCACAGAACATCCCGTTGCCTTGGGATGCCAATACAGGTCTCAGGCTACTGGCAGATGCCGTTTCAGAAACGGAGCTCAGTTTTGATTACTTTACCCTGGTGCTTACAAAAAGTGCTCTGAGTTCCTCCTGCCCCTTAAGGGCTCAGGTATCCTCACTAATATTCCCTTCAGGTCTGTGGGAGAACTCACATCTTCTACCTCTCTTTCATTCCCCTGGGGTCCTGATCCCAAAGCCTCCAGTCACTCCTTTCACATTGTAGGTAATAGCTCCAAAAGTTTGAGAAGAGCAGAGACAACACCCCATCCCCCGCCCCACCCCACCCGTACCCCGCTCTTTCTGATTCTGTCCTAGGTCCCCGATTCTCAGCCAGGGCCCAGACGAGGTGGCTCCTGCTGCAGACGCTGATCAACAACCCCAGGCTCATCACGCTTAGAAAATCAAAAGCAGACCACAGTTCCCGAGAGTCCACACAGAGTCTGCCCACCTGCTCAGATTGCTGATTGGACCACCAGCTTCTGCTCCGAGGCTACGCCATCTGCTGTGTGAGCAGGAGGCCCAAGGCATTTGATGATGGTGTCACTGGGTGCAGGTGCTAAAAGATGGTGGCACTAATTCAAAAGACATCAGTGCCAGGCTGGGAGGTGCGGGCATTGTCCTTAGCAGAGCCCAGCACTTACCCAAACCTTCACACTCAAAAACGGCCTAGGACAAACACAGCCTGACTGCTGGAAAAGCGCTGTGAGGACCCAAGGTCTCGGAGCACTTGCGCCTGCTTGCTGTGCACCCTTGATCCTATTGGGGCACATGCCAGGGCCCTCTCTTCTAGCTGAATCTCTGCAATAGCTCTTTGACAATTTGATTCTAGAAGCTGAGAAAATGGAGCACACACACTACACACCACACACACACACCTTTCTACCTCTGGCTAAAAGACTTTGTCTCTGTTCACAGATATCTGTATTTAAAAAGGGGCGCGACACCCCCTCCAGGTATTATCTTGAAAATAAAATTATTCAAAGCACCCTGACATCTTTAGGTGTGCCTGGCAGTCTAAACTCTCAAAGGCAGAGATCTGACTTTGGTTGTCTCTGTGGTTTGAGTGTAGGCAGTGCCTTCCAAAAGCCCAGGCACCTGTTGACCTTGGTCCCTGGGACAGCAACATGCAGAGGTATGGGACCTTTGGGGAGTGGTGCTCGTAGGAGGTCCTTAAGTTTCTAGAGGTGTGACCCTGAAGGGTATCATGGGGCCCTGGTCTATGTTTCTTTGCTGATGGGATGAGTATTTTTACTCACTAGACATTCCTACCATGATATTCTCCTTAGAAGCCAAAATCCATGGGCCCCTCCATCATAGACTGCAGCCTCCAAAAGCATGAGCCCAAATAAATCCTTTCTCTTCATACATTCACTGTCTCGGGTATTTTGTTGCAGTAACAGGGAGCTAACATAGATCTCATGTCACAGAAAGATGTGTGTGTGTGTGTGTAGTGTGTGTGTGTGTGTCTGTGTGTGTGTCTATGTCTGTGTCTGTCTGTCTGTCTATCTGGGTTCCATATTACTCATCAGGAAAATAAAAACTAAAACCATGATGCTACACCACCACATCACAGCAAGGCTAAGTCATAGACACACCTCTCTGTCCATGTGCTGGACTGTCTATCAGCGTTTTTATTCCCTTGTGTGCCCCATCAGGTTGAGTTCCTGAGCCAAGGAAGGACACAGCTCCAATCTGAAACTGAAAACACCCATTGTACATTGAAAAATATAACATAAATAAAATGGCTATATGTCTAATAATAGAATACTATCAGAAATGAACTATAAGCACATTCTTTTTATGGTGAGAAAGGTTCTTTTAAATATATACTTTCATTTATTCTTTGACAGTTTCATATATGTATATCTGTGTCCACCCCCTCTTCGCTTTTCTCCCAGACGCTCCCCCAACACATCCCTCCCTACCACCTTCATGTCTGCTCCTGTCTCCATTCTGTTGCTGTGATAAAACCCTCTGATCAAAGTAACTTAGTAAGGAAAGTGTTTATCTCTGTTTTCATCTCCAGGTCAAAGTATATCACTGTGGGAAGTCAGGGTGGGAACTCTACAATTGAGAGAAACATGTGATTTCCACCTTTAAGTCCATTTATATAATTTATAACATTTATCAGTTTACTTAGATTGAGCCATCCTTGTGTCTTTGTAATATAAGCAACTTGATTTTGATGAATGATCTTTTTATGTGTTCTGGAATTCTGTTTGCAAGTATTTTCTTGAGAACTTCTTTCTATGTTCACTGCGGAGGAGGTTATTCTGCAACTTCCTTCCTTCTTTTTCTTCTTCCTTCCTTCCTTTTGTTGCTTCTTTACCTAGTTTTGGAATCAAGATAATGTTAGCTTCATAAAAAGAGTTTAACAAAAGTCTTTCCGTTTCTGCTTGATGGGATAATTTGATGAAAAAGATTGATGCTAGTTTTGCTGCAAAGGTAAAATTCACCAGTGGTTCCATCTGTACTGGGTTTTTCTTTAGTTGGGAGGTTTTAAATCACTGCTTCAATCTCACAGTTTATTATAGATTATGAGTTACCACAGCCAGCTCCCCGTAGCTATAACTTTGAAGAACTAGAGCAGAAACTGCCCAGGCAGGAGCAACCTTCTGATGCCTGAAACTCAAGCAAGCAGCCTTTCCTCGGATGACAGAAAGAGCAGAGACTAAAAAATAAACAAGTAACAAACCAATGACCAGAGTCTGAAAACAAAGTGTTTTAAAAAATATGTTTTTCGCCAGGTGGTGGTGAAGAGTGCCTTTAATCCCAGCACTCAGGAGACAGAGGCAAGCAGATCTCTGTGAGTTCAAGGCCAGCCTGGTCTACAGAGAGAGAGAGAGTTCCAGGACAGCCAGGACTGTTAAACAGAGAAATCCTGTCTCAAAAAACCAAAACCAAATAAATAAAATAAAAATTATGTTTTTTATCCATCCGCTGGGTCACCTACATGCTTTCTTTTCAGCTAAAATGAATCCAATTTTTATTTTATTTCACCCTGGATCATGGATGAGAACAAAAGAGGTTTGTATTGACCGCTTCCTCATTCACCCGCGTCGAAGAATAAGAATAGTGTTTTCCAGTCATCACCTTTCGCATTTCTGATGCTGCAGTCAGCTGCGGAAGTCACCTTGGGAAGGACCTGCCAGCTTGTCTGATCTGCCACCTTGGGGCTTCTCTGGAAAGGAGCGGAGTGGCCCACAGTACACGGGAAACTCTAGATTGAGTCTGGTGTGTTCCTTATGTTGGCCAGGCAGGTCTTGAGCCTTGACTTCTGAGCCCGCCAGCCTCTTTTGAACTGGGAAATATTTGATCTCTTTCAGATTCTTACCGGCAAGGACCACCTTCCTTCCCCCACCCGCCGCCCGCACAGGTTGTTTTGACTAAAGAGACTGAATTCCTTGACCATAACAGTCAAGATCTGCGCGGGCTCTCTGATCTCTTACTAGCTTTGGGAACATTTAAGGGCGCTCCAAGAACCCAACATCGAAAGTTGTGGCTGAGTTTCACGACTCCACGTGGGTCGCTGCTGTTGCTGAGTAATTTGACTCCCGGAGAAGGGAAGTGTGGGCGGGGCCAGCCCCGCCCCTCGCGTTGCCTAGGAGACCGCCAGCGTCTTGCTGCAGTTGCTGCGGGCGGGCGGTCCAGGCGAATCTGAGCTTCAGGAGCTGGTAGCCAGCCTTGGGTCAGGGCCTCTCTCCAGATCACTGGGCTAGCAGGGCAGCGGGATGATTGCACAGGAAGGAGGGCGGGTCGCACACCATAGGCGTCTAATTAGCAGAATCAAATCTTCCCATCCCTCCACTCCCCGTTTCTCCCGGAGGATGTGGCTGGGGTTCCAGTCCCATCTGACACCTTAGGCGGATTGACGGTCCCCAGAAGAGCACAGACAATAATCCTGCCCTTTCCAGAAAGTGCCTGTGGGATTTACACCCTGTGCACCGGGAGAACTCACATGAACGGGGCTTATCTGAAGAAGTTTGTCTCCTCTGTTTCTCTCTCTCTCCCCTCCTCCCACCTCCTTTGTAGATTTCTTTGAAATTCAAGTCTTCTCTGGTGTCCTGCTGAATCTAGTGCTGTCTTTGGGCCGCAAGCGCCTGCACTTGGGGAGGACATCAGTTCCCAGCCTCGGAGTGAACACTGAGATCAAGGCCAGGACGAAGGGGAATCCCTCCAGCAGCCAAGATGTCGCCAGTGGGGAAGGTGTCCCAGGTAGAAAATGGCAAAGTCTACCAGCAGATCTTCCAGGCCCAGGTAGGCTCCCTGCTGTCGAGGGCTCCCCTTCCTGCGGCTCCAGTCTGACTTTCCCGTTCTCTTCTACTTCTCTTTGTGCTGTGAGATTTCCTGTCTAAGATCCAAATTTTATTTATTTAATATTTTACTGACAGTAGATTTAAAAAAAATACAATACATTTTGGTCGCGGTTTCCCCTCCCTCACCTACTCTCAAATCTGATCTGTAGTAGTAGTTGTTGTTGTTTTCTCTTATGGTGGGGGAGGAGGGAGCCCACTAACCAGCTACCAAATAAATCACATGGAGTCTTATTCTTTCTTTTAAATACCCGGCCTTAGCGTGGCTTGCTCCTTTCCAGCTTTTCTTACATTTTCCTGTCTGTCTTCTGCCTCTGGGCTTTTACCTTTCTCTATTTCTGCATATCTTTCTTAACTTCTCACTCTGTGGCTTACTGTGTAGCTGGGTGGTGTCCCTGGAGTCCTCCTCCTCCTTATCCTGCTCCTCAATCTCTTCCTTCCAGAGTTCTCCTCCTATTTATTACCCTCTCTGCCCTTTCTCCTGCCTTGCTATTGGCTGTTCAGCTCTTTATTAGACCAAACAGGTATTTTAGACAGACAAAGTAACACAGCTTCACAGAGTTAAACAAATGCCACATAAAAGAATGCAACACATCTTTGGATCATTAAACAAACGTTCCACAGTATGAACAAATGTAACACATCTTAAAATAATACTCCACAGCACAGATCTTCCCCATATACCTGCATTTTAAAAGTAGAACTTTGATACTACTTTGATTTTAAAAAATAATTGCTGTTAGGTAGCGATAATAGGGTAGAACAATAGGATGTTTATTCTTAAAAATTAATTTCGATAAAAATTTTAATCAGAATGATTCGAAATTCATCTGAATTAACCATTCAGTGCCTGGGTCTTTTTGCCAAGAATAAAAGCAATTCATATTTTTCTATTTGAAAAGTGGGTCATGCTTGGGCATGGTGGCACATGCCTTAAGTTCCAGCACTTGGGAGATAGAGGCAGGTGTATCTGAGTTTGAGGCCAGCCTGGTCTACCTGACAAGTCCTAAGACACCATGGCTACCTAACAGAGAGACCCCGCCTCAAAACAAGGGGTAGTCACACTCCTTGCTGGGTGCCCAGTGGCGTCCTCCATCGAGGACTTGCCTGACAGCATTAAAGGCTTCATTTGCCATGTCTATTATAAAGAAACCTTAAAAGAAATCCACAAGACCCAAACCAAGTGTACTGCTTATTTATTTCCCAGTTTGAGCCATAAATCATGCTGTCTGTATAACCTTTAGAAACGGTGAAAAGCATCACATGACTTAGCTTCATAGAAGTGAATTACTATTCTTAACCTTCAGCACTCTGTTTTTGCATGTGTTTTAGAATTCGAACCCACACTATAATTTGGGTTGTAATTTTTTTTTTAAAGCGAGTTTCTGGGTTTGTTGAATGTATTGCCAGGGACAGCAGATCTGGAAGTATCCAGAGTGCCACCTGCCTACAAATTTTAATTTATGCTTTAGGAAGAGATTTATACTTGTTTTATGTGCTTGAGTGTTTTGACTGCGTGTGTGTGTGTGTGTGTGTGTGTATGCTTGGTGCTGTTGGAGGCCAGCAGGGTGTGCTGGAGTCATAGATGGTTGTAAGCCACCAAGAGGTTGCTGACAATGGATCTCTGGTCCTTTGTAGAGCAGCAAGTGCTATCGAGGAGCCATCTCTCCAGCCCCATAATTTACACTTTAATTTATATGTTCAATTACACATTATCTCATAACGATTTCCTTGTTGTAAGGAATTTCTTGTAATTTCTGTCTTTAAGAACCCCCTAACATCCCATCAAAGGAATTTTACTCCTACTACTGGATAGTATTGTTTAATTTGTTTCTTTTTTTTCCTTCCATTGTTTTCAGTTTTTATGATTACAAAAATGTTTGTGTAGACTAAATCTGGATCTCCATTCCAAGTTCTTTACATACACCTTCCTTGAAATAGCCTGTACCTATAAAAAGGGAAGATCTTCTGCGGTGTGTGTGTGTGTGTGTGTGTGTGTGTGTGTGTGTGTGTAGCTGGAGGCCTTTGTGCAAAGTGCCTTCTGTGTGGCTT